TCCAAGAAGCAAATCCTTCCTTCTTGTTGGTCCCAGTAGCATGGGAATTAAGACTCAGTCGAAATTATCCTTACTTCTGAACTCCAAAGGTGTACCCAATGTTTTAATGGGTGCGGGAAGAATTAGATGAGAACATGAGAGAATTAATGGCAAATGATTTAAGAAACACAGCAGCAACACTGTTAAGAATACATTTCTATTCCTCATGCAACTGAATTGCTAAAAAGGACTCCATGGAAAAACCTAATATCCAAAGTACCCATCTTGGTTTTTAAACACATTTATAGGGTTGAATATAAATAGAAAATTAACACAGGCTGGGCACAGTGGCTCACGCCTGTAATCCCAACACTTTGGGAGGCCAAGATGGGTGGATCACCTGAGGTCAGGAGTTCGAGACCAGCCTGACCAACATGAAGAAATCCCATCCCTACTAAAAATACAAAATTAGCTGGGCGTGGTGGCGCATGCCTGTAATCCCAGCTAGTGGGGAGGCTGAGTCAGGAGAATTGCTTGAATCGGCAGGCAGAGGTTGCAGTAAGCTGAGATCGCACCATTGCACTCCAGCCTGAGCAACAAGAGTGAAACTCAGTCTTAAAAAAAAAAAAAAAAAAGAAAGAAAATGAACACAATTCTATTTTGCAAGGTGCCTCCCACTTGGTTACCTCTGGGGAGTTTGGCTAGCGGTGGGAAGGCTACATAAGCCAGTTTCTATACTTTGAGACAGTCTCACTGGGTCGCCCAGGCTGGAGTGCAGTGGCGCCATCTTGGCTCACTGCAACCTCTGCCTCTAGGGTTTTCGTGCCTCAGCCTCCTGAGTAGCTGGGATTACAGGTGCGCGCCATCACATCTGGTTAATTTTTCTATTTTTAGTAGACAGGGTTTCACTATGTTGGCCAGGCTCGTCTCCAACTCCCGACCTCAGGTGATCCGCCTGCCTCAGCCTTCTCAAGTGGTGGGATTGCAGGCGTGAGCCACTGCACTCGGCCTCTATACTTTTTCTAACATAGGAAGTGTTTTGACAGGCAGAGAGAGACAAGTCCAGGGCAGCTGAACCATTCTGGCAGAGCAAGAAAGTCCACTTGGCGTCTTAACTATAATGTATATGAAAACTAGAAGCTACGACACAAAACTACCTCAAGAAGACCGCTTACACAGGACACTTCATAATTTGGTGACTCCTCAAAGGTTCAGTTCCATCAAGCTGTTTCTTCATAAACTTGTAAATTGGCCAGCTTTGTTAACAATTACACAAATAGGATTCCTAAGTTTCACTAATGGGGGAAAAAAAAAAGCAATGTGAGAAAAGACCACGACAAAAAATCTATTTCCAGGTGCAAAATGACATTTGTCATGACAAGGATTACTACCAGATGGTACACCCCACATTTTAATATCCGTGAAAGCCAGTGATTTTGCTTGCTGCGATGCCCTGTAACCAACGGCATCTTGCATTTGTTCAAATGCAGTATATTCTGTCTTGTGTTAATGGATCCGAACAACACTTGTTTACTCAGATGGCTAAAATGATTCCTATCTTACTCTTGAGTTTTGACTATGTAAATAGAACGACTTTAAAATAACCAACCTTTATTTAAATGGCTCTGAAACTTGTTCTATTTAGAAAATTTTTTGTAGTTTAAGAAATTTCTCGAGATTTTACATCCCTAAAGTTACTGAAATGTTTTATGTAATCCCAACTTTAGTAAGATATCTAAACTTTCAAGTACACAGATAAGATGTCAACTTTTTGCCTATCTGTAAGTTATCAGATTACAATGAAGCAAATCAAAATACTGGCAGCTATGTGGATTCTCAGTTAGATGTACTCAGGTAGCTAAAAATAGTTGAAATACAGTCTAATCCAACTGGAAGGAGTTTTCCAAATTGCAGAAAAGTTAGTTTTCCATTTAAAAGAAATCAGTGACATTAAATCCAATGAAAATCTAAGATACGTCTTTTAGCAGTTCTTTAAGTCACCCAACTTTAGGAAAGCACCGCCAGGTTTCTGTGGAAATCTTATTTCCCTGGGACATGACAACAAAGAGCTATTTCTAGACACTAAAAAACAGCAGATGGAACATGCTAGAGTTAACTGAATTTTCACTTCTGTGGCTCCCCTCAAAACATGTGGTCTGCTTTATTTCCAATTTAAGAGAACTGTGAAACACCAGTTTGTCGAATCTTAAGTTTTAACTATAAAGTCTACAATTAGATCACAACTCCTTTCTTTGAGCTTCTTAGGTGTGAATCCACTTTGGATATACACAATGACAGCTAAATTCCTCATAAACATTTCCCTTTAAAAAACTCCCTTCAGCTCTATTACGCCTCTACATTCTGTTTAGAAATCTTGTATTAATAAATAAAGGGAAAACCGAAATTTAATTTATAAAGTTTTATTTTTGTATATGTGCTAAATCTTAGGAACCGTGAACAATCTTCATGTCAGTCTGTTGGCTTGTAAAAGGCTAAGAAGTGCATGACTTGGGTGGTGAAATTTCCTTTTGGGAATCTGGATCTCAAAATAAATTTTCACACATTTGCAGCTTTAAAATGTGGTGCACCTTGCCCCCACTTCTCTTACACCTATAAATTTGGAGGGAAAGTGCTACATTTCTGCAAACGTAAAAATAATTGTTATAAACACAATCGGCAGCAAATTCTCAATACACTTAGCACTTCTGTAGTGTTTTATCACACTCAAAAACCTTATTTTCAAAAACTAACACTCACATATGTGTAGGACCAATTCTGGTTGAGTCCTACTATGAAACTAGCAGTTTTTTTTTTCTTAGTAACACAAAAACTGGGGTGTGGGGGAGTGTTGTTTTCCTTTATCGGCAGTATGTAGTACCTTCAAACTAGAGACCAAAACTGGGCACTTACAATGAAAAGGCAATTTTCTTATCCAGCTAATAATCCTTAATAAGGCAGGATATATCCACCAAATTAGCCACAAAATTCAGCAAAGTAAAATAGCTCATGGGAGAACATAAGCTGGAAAAATACTAATAAACTGAAAGAACTACTTTGAAGTAGTCATCTGAATATTCACAGACTTGTTTTCATTTACAAATGTAAGTCAAATAAAAAAGTCTCCTCATCTTTCTAACCACTACTAGGATTAAGGATTTAAGTTATAATTCACTAAGTTAATCATGGAAAAAAAAATAGAAAACATTTTCATAATTCTGAATTTGTATACACAATAGCTAAAAGACACAAGGCTGGAAAATTATCACCAGGAGAAAAAAATCAACGAAAGAAAAAACCCCAAATATGCTATTTCTGCCTCTACAATGCTAAGCATGAACATTCAGTTGGTGGAGGGCTTAGAAACAGCAGCAATATGGTTTTTACCAAGTTGTTCACTGAAATACTTAGATACAATAGGGCAAAAGCCCTTGTTCACACGGTTTTACAACTAGAATATCTTCAGTCTTTATGTTAACACATTCTACTTACTGTCTTCTATAATCATGTCATTTAGAATTCTGGGGGCTACTTCTTTCAAAGGAAGACTGGTGATTCTGCAAACATTTAAAATAGGAAATATATGGCTCAAAAAATCAGTTGAGGGATAACTAAATAATCCTTAGGCACTTTGAAGACTTGAAATTTAAAATGTGCCATTTATGTTCAGAAAGACCTCAAAATCACCACTACGTTGCTCTTATAGTAACATGCATTTTTAAATTTCTGGTTAAACATTAATGCTTAAGAGTTAAATATAGAAAATAATTTGCACAAACAAAAATAACTCCATTCACTTTCCCTTGCTCCTGGTACAACACAAACCACTCTTCCTCAAATGGAGACAAAAAACGATTCACGAGCCCCTCACCTGCACAAGGGGGCTTGTAAATTCAAAGTAATCAAAGTTGGGCTCTTCTTCCAAGTAGAAATATTCACAGCCTTTTATATGTCAAGATTTTTCTCATCTAGGAAGTCATTAAAGTTTTTAAGTACATTACATATTTTGTTAAGGAGCAGGAAATATATAAATCGCCTCTCAGATGGTGAGATGGTATACTTAACAACAGTAACTCCTCCAAATAGTTATTTCACTCATTGAAGGAGCTTGAAACCGACAAACTTTTAAATTAAAAAACTATCAACTGGAGCCATGTGTGGTGGATGGTGACTCATGCCTGTAATCTCAGCACTCTGGGAGGGCAAGGCAGGTGGATCACCTGAGGTCAGGAGTTCAAGACCAGCCTGGCCAACACGGTGAAACCCGTCTCTACAAAAAAACAAATTAGCTGGACGTGGTAGTGAGTGCCTGTAATCCCAGCTACTTGGGAGGCTGAGGCAGAACCACTTGAACCTGGGAGACGGAGGTTGCAGTGAGCTGAGACCATGCCATTGCACTCCAGCCTGGGCAACAGAGCCTCCATTTCCAAAACAAAATCAATTGGAATTGCAAATACTGTTGACTTTCACTCAAACTTAAACTATCTGGTGTCAAAATTTCCTATTACAGGAACACCTAGAAGCACAGATTGACTATAGAGTACTACAAATAATATACCCAAAGCTTCATCTTAAATACCTGCCCCTTTTAATCACAAAATAATGCAATGCTCTATTGATTCTGCTTTGTTCTGCTCCAGCTGTAGCCTTGACAAAACATGTCCCTATTAACTGAATTGTAAAAAATACAACCAAGCTTGTGCTCATTAAATATACATGTATATAAAAAACATATAAAAAGTACAAGATTATGTTAGGAAACTTTTACAGTGTCAACGTCCTGATTTCTCAAAATCTTCAGTAAAGGGCCAAAGGTCAAATCTTTCTGTGCACAAAAACTGAATGTGACTGAAATCCTGAATCGGTGTCATGCCTAAGCAGGCTATGCACAGAATAAATTTTAATAATATCCAGTCCTCTCTAAAAAAAGGACCAAAAAGTAACCAAAAAAAAAGAAAAAAAAAACAAAAACAAAAAAAAAAAGAAAAACAAAAACCAAAAACACACCACAGGACAAAAAGTTCTTCTTAAATCAAATTCTATTTGTGAATTCAGCAAAATAATTTCTATAAAATAAAACAGCAAAATATTTAAATAGAATATGGTGGGCTGTATCTGTTTGTAGGGGTATTTGGTTTTTAGACAGGTTCCAAAAAATTACACACATTCAAGTTACCAATTCTTTTAAATACAGTATTAACTGAGGAGTTCCTTATTTTTAATCAAATGTTTATTCTGAAATTGTGGTATCTCAATTATAGTAACTAACCAGTAGTTTCTTTTTTAATTAGACCCTGCTTTGAACGTTAGACTTTCTGGAATAATGGAAAAGGAGCTAGGACAATTCTTGCTTTCAAGTAAAATTGTGACTGAGCAGAAAATCAGCCAGCTATCTTGGTGCAGAGAGGTACTCCAAGTACCGTGGGGTTCTGATGACTTCCACGTCACTGGGATCCAGCAGAAGGAAAGTTTCAGAAGATTCACCTAATAAAGTCTACCAAAGAAATAAAACAAGCACACCAAATACAGTCTTCTATTATGCTCCAGCATCTTGGTATAGCAAATTTTTGCATATTTGTTTTAAATCTTTTAAAATTCCCATTACTGATACTTAAGTGTTCTTTATCCCACCCAGAGATTGAACTGTCAAACATTATATATAAGGAACGTATGTGCAACTGAAAACAGCCTGCTTGTCACATTTCTCCCGTTGTTTTATATTTTAATATTCTAGGTGTAAGAAGTAAAAGCTCTGAGTAATACAGCTGTCACTTCTCGGACAACTGCTGTCATTACGGTAACTTTTTCCTCATTGGCTACACTAACTTGGTGTGAAGCCATGCTAAATGTTACAGCATAACTATAGCTTCAAAGTGATTAATCTAGTATCAGAATAAAAAGGCAATGAAAAAAACCTAGGAACAGTGTTACATCACCAATTTTCCACATCAACCAAGTAATTTAAAGGGTACCAGCCTTACATTGCTCATAGCAAAACTGACTCCAGTGGCAAAGAATTAACATGAAACTATTGGTGTGGCTGACATGTATGGGCTCTGTTTTGTTGTTGCTATTTTTTTTTTTTTTGTAAAGGAGCTGATTCTACTGCCATGAGGCAGGCAACACTGGTTGCAGAGTGCAGTGGGTATAACAAGAAAATTAACTTTTGTAATTTCTGTAGATCTGTGAATCTCAACAAGAAAAAAGTTTCTTGCTTAAGAATTAACAGTCAACATTAATATACTATATACACCTTTGCCATTTACACATTAGCATCAGGCCATTTATTACAAAACACTATACACTTTCCACTGCAGGCGGGTTATATATTGACAGCAAATTTCTGCAGATAAGACAGTGAATAAACTCTCCACTCCATGATTAGGAATAGTTTTTCTAGTTTTAAATATTAGCCAGACACAGAAAAAGGTTGGACTGTAAGGCCTGGGTGCACAGTCTTGATGGAACCAATTAATTATGTGCATTTCATTGATCCTTGGTTTGAGGTGGGGATACTTCTTCACTGCCTTCATAATTTTCTTGTGCTCGTTGGCCAGTTCTCTGAGGGTTGTTCATGTGATGTGCCGCTGGGCCGGTATATGGCTGTCCATGCACATGATTATTCTAGGAAAGGAGAAGAGATCTGCATGTTAAAACTTTTCACATCGTAAAACAACTTCAAAATCATGGTCCCAAGTCTCTGGAAATATAAACTTTTATTCTTGGGACTTACTCTGTAAATACCCTTGCGCTATTATAGTGCAAAAACAAAACAAAACAAAAGGCCTGAAAGAGAAAAACAAAGTGTAAATGCAAACCCCACTGCTCTGAATAAGGGCAGTGACTGTTAGGTCCACAGAAATCTTTGGCCAAAGTGATTTTCAGTGCCAAAAATTATCAAGACTCAAGTCTGGCAAATAAAGGATTAACCCACTGTTGCCCTTGGTAAAAATTTGTCAGAGAATGATCTGTGAGCATCTGTTGAGTCTTCCACATGCTAAATCCAACTGATTAACCATGATATGAGATCTGCAGAAGCAGTAACCCTGAACTCACAATAATGCTGATTAAAAACAGAACAATGTTCAAGACGATAAAGTAACCAGGCATGATTAACATAGAGTTTTCTCGGGGCCAAACTAAGTTAACCTTCCTTGTAGATTTGGTTCCCTAACCTTTTTAAACATCTGAACCCTACAGTGCTCTCATTTCTCTGTACATACTCCATCAGCCAAGCCAAGACTTTAGGCTTTTTTTTTTTTTTTTTAGCGGGAACCTCGCTCTGTCTCCAGGATATAGAGTGTGGTGGTGCGATCTTGGCTCAGTGCAACCTCTGTCTTCCGGGTTCAAGCAATTCTCCTGCCTCAGTCTCTTGAGTAGCTGGGACTACAAGCACGTGCCACCACGCCCGACTAATTATTTTTACTAGAGACAGGATTTCACCATGTTGGCCAGGCTGGTCTCGAACTCCTGACCTTGTGATCCACCTGCCGTGGCCTCCCCCAAAGTGCTAGGATTACAGACATGAGTCACCATGCCCGGCCAGGCTTTACTTTCTATAGACGAAAATAAATATGCTCAATGTGTACTTCCTAACTATGTGTACTTCCTAACTATTCAGTTTGCTTGTTATGTACACACTGAAATGTAACAAAGAATGCCTGAAATGATGTTTCTCTAAGTATGGTTCCTGGACCACCAGTAGCATCACTTGGGAACTTGTTAGAAATGCACATTTTCCAGCCCCCTTGCAGACCTATGAAATTAGACACTCTGGGGGTAGCATCCAGCCCTCTGCTCCTCTGCTGGAGCAAGCTCCCCAAGGGAGACTCATGCCTGTTCAAGAGCTGATTTAGTTGCATTTTGGTTTCAGAAATTACATACATGACAGAATTATTTGCCATGTATGTAATTATGAGAAAGAAAAAGTTCTCATTTAGAATGTTTATCTAATTTCATTTGCTATTTATTTACTTTACAGTTAATCACCTATGAAACCCAAATCCTTTTTTTTTTTCCCGGTTATTTTTACCATCACTGAAACCTGTGGCTACGTAACCAAGGACTTCTTACTTCATTGCCATATCTTAGCATCTTTAAAATCCAGGTGAAGATTTCGCCTCATAGCAAATGTCACCATAATCCTCTGCACTAAACAATGATCATTTTATGTTGACATAATTTCTCACACAGTTTTATATTAACTACTAGCACAAGAGGGATACCTTCTTGACAAGGAAAACCCTACAGGGGTTAAGTTCAAACATGTTGCACCATGACCCCCACTCCAAACCATTCTTCTTCTGATCATGCTCCCAAAGCTAGTCTAGATAATCCTGTTACTTTGTAGTCACAACAAAAAATTGAGAGCCATCCTCTAAAATTAGGTGTAAAGCCTAGTTCTAGGGGATAAAACCACAAACTGACTCCTGTTTACCTGTTGATACTGAGATCCAGGTGAATGAGGGTACAATGGGGCATCTTCAGGTGGAGGCGATTCATGTTCATCTGGGGCATCTTGGTCATCTGGCTCCTAATTTTGAGTATTTCAAGATACAGAATTATGTAGGCAAACTCAAGTTTATTTTTAACCTTTTCTATTTGAAATAAATTTAAAAAATCTACAAAACTGACTCATTAGCAACTTTTACTGCAAATAAACTGAAAACAAAAAAGCTGATTTGCATTCTCTTAGAAATACTACATCTCAGGCAATTTCACAGAAATTTCTCCAAAAGAAGGCTCCCTCATTTGCTTAAGATGACAAAAAATAAACATTTTTCTTATCTTTTTTTTTTTGAGACGGAGTTTTGCTCTTGTCACCCAGGCTGGAGTGCAATCGCACAATGTTAACTCACTGCAACCTCCACTTCCTCAGTAGATGAGATTACAGGGGCCCGCCACCACGCCCGGCTAATTTTTGTATTTTTAGTAGAGATGGGGTTTCGCCATGTTGGCCAGGCTGCTCTCGAACTCCTGACCTCAGGTGATCCACCCACTTCGGCCTCCCAAAGTGCTGGGATTACAAGCGTGAGTCACCACGCCCAGCTGAATAAACATTTTTCAAAACCCAAAATTTCAACACAATCTTTTTTTTTTTTTTTTTTGAGACGGAGTTTCGCTCTTGTTACCCAGGCTGGAGTGCAATGGTGCAATCTTGGCTCACCGCAACCTCCGCCTCCTGGGTTCAGGCAATTCTCCTGCCTCAGTCTCCTGAGTAGCTGGGATTACAAGCACGAGCCACCATGCCCAGCTAATTTTTTGTATTTTTAGTAGAGACGGGGTTTCACCATGTTGTGCAGGATGGTCTCGATCTCTCGACCTCGTGATCCACCCGCCTCGGCCTCCCAAAGTGCTGGGATTACAGGCTTGAGCCACCGCGCCTGGCCCTCAACACAATCTTTTAATCATATCATTAATACATAAACACTGGCCTATAAAATAAAGAATTACTTTGCTCTCTTCCATTTCTATCTGCTGCACACTGGTGGCTTTTTTTACCTCCTCTGGACAGAGTTCACAAGCTTTAGCAAGTGTCATCCTAGCACTATGTGATCTCTCCAAGAAATAACCATTTGATGTCTCATTGCTTTGCACTGGGGGAGACCAATTGTTGTAAGTGTACTGAGGATTGCCAGTATATGGTCTTCTTTCAAGTTCATCTCCAAGCCATTCCACCGCCCAGGTCCACTTTCTTTTAAGATCTCCATTTCCCTGAAAAAGAAAATAAAATCATATATATAAGAGGATTTGGAATACTTCAAAGTTAACTTAAAATGACAACCCCAAGTTTTCATGATTCTCTTCTTTTAAAATAGAATCCTTAATTCTGATTAAGATTTCTACAAAATTATAAGAACAAAATCCTCACCTGCAAGATTTGGTAAGCAACAGGACAGTTACTAAATAGAGCTACCATACATTTTATACACTGGTATGCTCTTTTTTGATAGTGATTCTTAGAGCGCTGGATTGTGTCAAACAGCCCATCTCGGTCATCTGGGATTCCTTTCAGTGCATTATGGATTCTGAAAGAGAACCAGATATCAAAACATCTAAAATCTAATATATACTGAGTGCCTACTATGTGCCACACAATAATGTCTTTGATTTAGTCATTTAATCTAACCCTAGACAGTACGTACTATTATTAAACCTTTTAACAGATGAGAAAATTGGCAGAGTTACACAGCTTGCTGAGGTCATACAGCTGCGCTCTTACGAACTTATTACCAATCCAAAATAATTCTGCCATGTATGTAATTTAAAGACGTTGCCTGAAGTAAATTCAGGACACTCAAGAGTAATGCAAATTTTTAAATAGTAACTAAGTTACGACTGCTGTATTCAAAAGTAATTTGCTATACGTCAATATCTTTTATAAAACTGCATCTCTGAAGGCAAGTTAGGATTCAGTGACATAATTTGGAGGTACAGTATTCGAATTCTAATAATGTGAATACATGGCAGGCAAAGCATTTTGACAGGCAATAGTACAATTTGGATGGTTTGCCAATAACACAGCATTTCATTTCAGCTCTTCTCAAACAACAACAGAGTAATAATACCTAGCCAACTAGTTCCTGTCTTTCCCTGAAATAACTTAAAACAAGATTGTAGAGGCACAAACATGCCTTGTTTCTTTTGTGTTAAAAATAATATGTGCCAGTAAATAAAATGTGGTGTATAGATATCTGTAAGTTATCCAGATATAATGACATATGTAACATGACAGGACTCTGAAAACATTAAGCTAAATGAAAGAAGTCAGATACACAAATTGCATGATTTCATTTTTATGAAATGTCTACAATAGGCAAATCCATAGAGACAGCAGATTAGTGGTTGTCGGGGCTGGAAGGAATGGTGAGTGACTGCTTAATTGGGTACGAGTTTCCTTTTGGGGTAAGAAAAATGTTCTGGAATCAGATAGTAGTAATGGCTATTTAACATTGTGAATGTACTAAAAGTCACTGAATCGTATACTTTAAAATGGTTGACATGATGAATTTTATGTTGTGTAAATTTTACCTCAATTAGAAAACGTAACCTGGACACTGAGAATTTAAGATTCTAATGTACGTTGTGGTATTTTACTTAATAGAATGTTTCAATCAAGAAGACTTTTTTCCTCCATCAACTGCATTCATGATTTCCAAACAGATTACTTCAGCAATTTTGCAAAGCTTAATTTTCAGACAAATCAAACATGTCCACGCCCTCTTGCTGTTTAATCTGAAACACTACATATAAACTGCTTTCACCTTCTGTTTTTTCAGGTGATAATGAAGTGCTAAATCAGTATTTCTGCCATACCATATTTTCTCTCCATTAGTATCAACTGTTCCCAAATGCCATTGTTATACTATCTTCACTCGCCTTATTACCTAATGCCAACCAGCGCTAGGTACATGGTAGACACTCCATAAATAGTTGAACACTGTTCACTGAATGAATTAAAAGCTCATTAGTATTTTCACGTTTGGGTCAGTGATTCATATAACAATATCTTACTTATCTGATGACACAAAAATGTAATTTCCACATTTACTCTAGCATATATGTCTTAGCCATTAACACTTGCTCTAATCAAACAAGAGCTAAGATGTGATTAACTGGTTTAAAACTGTAAGTGCTTACAGAATTTTCTTTTTTAAAAAAATAGAGAGAGGCAAGATCTTGCTATGTTGGTCAAGCTGGCCTCGAACTCCTGGCCTCAAACGATTCTCCTGCCTTGGCCTCTCAAAGTGCTTATTACAGGGTGAGCCACTGTTCCCAGAAATACCGCATTTTAAAAAAAGAAAATAGTAGAAGTTAGATTTCATTAAAATCGACTCTGAAGAAAGCTTTCAAATGCTATGAACATATCTAGAAGGCCATTGAATATTGCCTGAATTAAATGGCTTTAATTTTGAGTTACCATCTTTTGTGTCTCATGAAAACTGATTTTTGGTTTAATGCTATTTTTACAGTATTTATTTGTAATCTATTATGGTAAATTTGGAGATAATTTGAAAAATACTAAGTTACAAATTCTGGTATTCGCAATCCCGACTAAAACTCCAGATTGTAACTTCTCTTTAAGCATTTTGTTGTTACAGATCTTGTTTTTGAGTTTATTACATTGACAGATGGGAGGCAAACTGCAATACAGACTTTGAATTATTTCCCCAAATTAACTATTATACTATCTTCCATGTGTGAAGGGAAGTTATAAAACCTGGCACAGCTGTCAACTAATACCATAATTTACCATCAATTATATAACTCTTGGGATTAAAGATAATATATTCAACTTTTACTACAAAAAAAACAAATAGAAAAATTCTCATGAAAGTCTGAGGGCCAGTTAAGCTAAATAACCTTAGTTCTTAAGGGGAAAAAAAGTTAAAATTCTAAAACTTCTCATAAAAACTAATTATAATTGATCTTCTATTCATGAATTCTGTATTTGTGAATTTGCCTACTTCCTAAACTTTGTAACTGCAAAATCAATCCTCAAGGTGCTTTTTAGGTCATATGTGGACACATGCAGAGCAGTAAAAATATCAAGTTGTCCAACACAATCATTCCTAGATGAAGTCCAAAAGTGCTATTCTATCATATTTCAGCTTAAACTGTAAACAAGTGTCCTTCTTCGTGCCACATTTTCCACATATTTGTGCTTTTGTTGGTTATTTTTATGTTTAAAATGACCCCTAAGTACATAATGTTGAAGTTCTGTCTAATGTTCCTAAGCACGAGAAGGCTGCGATGAGCCTTATGGAGAATGTGTTAAAAAAGCTTGAGTTCAGCCTTAAGTTATAGAGCTGTTGGTTGTGAACTTAATGAGTCAACAATATATATTAAATGACTTTAAGTAGAAACACACATAAAACAAGGTTATGTATTGAACTGGTTGATAAAAATGTAAACAGAAGCTTATAGAAATCTAATTCTTATTTTCTCCTAGGAATAATGGTTCAGTATTCGCTAACTCAGTGTCTGTGGTGACTTTACAGAATATAAATACCATGAAAAATGGAAACTGTACTTAGCTAGGAATTACTTTTAAATATACTATTATACTTCTTGTGACTAATGACTACTTTAAGTTACTTCAAATGACTAGTTCTAAAATAAATGTAATTTAGTCATAAAATAATCCTAGGGTGTCATTAATGAAATTCAAATATTTACCAAAAACCCAAGCTAGCACTTAATTTTTAAAAAAAATCATTCTAAAGAAAAGGCTTATTAAGTATGAAACTTAGGCAATGACAGAAAAGAATAAAAAAGGAAACAAAATTCTGAGGAAAGGGGGACAACTTGTTATTTACCCTTTCCTAGGTTTTAGTTTAAGATAAAACACTCACTAGAACGCCAATGGGCTAAAAAAAAAAAAAAAAAAAAATGTGGTGACTGTCAATTTCAGTTATGTCTAACACCTGGGCAAGCCTAACTGTTTCCAGTAACAAAAAGAGTATCTACCTGTGAGTTTGCCAGGAGTCCTCAATCAGTAAGATTTGCAAAAGCAGATCCAAATAGGGCCGCAGTTCATAGGTATAGGAGTATGCAACCTAAAAACAAGTAAGACATGGTGAATAACTTAATGAAAGGAGTAACAAATCAAATTATAAACATCAAATGTTATTTTCCTTTTACCTGCCAGAGAAGTTCACTGAGGACAGTAGATGAGAACTGAGGATTTTCCCAGCAGCAAAAACGAAGCAATTTGACAGTTTCCTCGGAATTACTGCAGTCTTCAATGATTTTCTTCACATAACTTGTTCTCACAAATAAAATGTCTGCCACATTCTGCTGAATTGGCATTATAGGTTGTGATAAATTAGGATCACCAAAAGGATTGGGAAGAGGAGGATTACCTAGAATACAGATTTGTCATCAATAAAAAACTAATAAGCTTCTCCACAATAATAGTACACAACTTTCACGACAGAATATAGCCTATACTGGCCAGGCGCGGTGGCTCAAGCCTGTAATCCCAGTGCTTTGGGAGGCCGAGGCGGGTGGATCACGAGGTCAAGAGATTGCGACCATCCTGGTCAACATGGTGAAACCCCGTCTCTACTAAAAATACAAAAAATTAGCTGGGCATAGTGGCGCGTTCCTGTAATCCCAGCTACTCAGGAGACTGAGGCAGGAGAATTGCTCGAACCCAGGAGGCAGAGGTTGTGAGGTTGTGGTGAGCTGAGATTGCGCCATTGCACTCCAGCCTGGGTAACAAGAGTGAAACTCCATCTCAAAAAAAAAAGAAAGAAAATAGCCTATACTTTTTTTTTTTTAAGATGGAGTCTTGCTCTGTCACCCAGGCTGGAGTGCAGTGGTGCGATCTTGGCTCACTGCAAATCTGGCCTCCTGAGTTCAAGCGATTCTCCTGCCTCAGCCTTCCAAATAGCTGGGACTACAGGTTCGCACCACCACACGTGATCCACCACACCTGGCCAAATGTTTTATTTTAGAAAAACAACATTTTAAATCAAGTTTCCCAAGCACAGTAAGAAAGTAACATTATGCATTATAATAATCAGATATACTGAGATGTAAAAATGCAAACTCTAAATATAGAAAAAATTTTTTTGGACACTTGGGCTCACTCTGTCACCCAGGCTGGAGTGCAGTGGTGTCACCATAGCTCACTGCAGCCTTGATCTCCTGGGCTGAAGTGGTTTTCCCACTTCAGTCTCCTGAGTAGCTGGGACTACAGGCCCATGCCACCACACCCAGCTAACTTTTCTGTTGTTGTTAATTTTTAGTAGAGATGAAGTCTCACTGTTGCCCAGGCTCAACCTCAACCTCTTGAGCTCAAGTGATCCTCCTGCCTTGGCCTCCTGCAAAGCGTAGGGATTACAGGCATGAGCCACTGACCCCAGCCTAAAAAGTTAATTCTTTTTTGAGACAGTGTCTTGCTCTGTCACCCAGGCTGGAGTGCAGTGGCATGATCTCGGCTCACTGTAACCTCCGCCCCCCAGGTTCAAGCGATTCTGGTACCTCAGCCTCCCAAGTAGTTGGGATTACATGTGGCCACTACCACGCCTAGCTAATTTTTACATTTTTAGTAGAGACAGTGTTTCACCATGTAGACCAGGCTGGTTTCAAACTCCTGATCTCAGGCGATCCACCCGCCTTGGCCTCCCAAAGTGCTAGGACTACAGGTGTGAGCCACTGCACCTGGACTAAAAAGTTAATTCTTAAAATATTTCATAAACATGGTATCAACCTCAGTGACAAGGAGACAGAAAAAAAAAATCCCATTAAATGCGTAGAAAAGGTACAGGACTAAAATATTCCAAAGCAGAAATCTTCCTCCAGACTCTCAATACTATATACGCCCAACATTTAAAAACTACTGTAAAGAGGGCTGGGCATGGTGGCTCACACCTGTAAACCCAACACCTTGGGAGGCTGAGGTGGGCAGGTCACCTGAGGTCAGGTGTTGGAGACCAGCCTGACCAACATGGTGAGACCCCATCTCTATTAAAAATACAAAATTAGCCAGGTGTGGTGGTGGATGCCTGTAATCCCAGCTACTTGGGAGGCTGAGGCAGGAGAATGGCCTGAACTGTGGAGGTGGAGGCTGCAGTGAGCCGAGATCCAGCAACTGCACTCCAGCTGGGCAACAAGAATGAAACTCCGTCTTAAAAACAAACAAAACAAAACACAACAAAACAAAACACAACAAAACAAAACACAAAACCACCATAAAGAATGGAGCATTCAAATTTACCATTGATTGAAGACTGCATTCTTGAAGAGACATTGCAACAGCGTATCAGCTGTGACACTACTGAGTATAATTTGCCTAATTCAGCATACTGATATTTGATTGGAGGACCTGGACCTTCATCTAAAGACACAAGCATAAAGGTAGCAGGTACACTCAATTTCAGAAGCTGTGTCTTCTCTGCCACACCTACAACAAAGGAGTGAGGGGGAGGAGAAAGAGAGGGAGAAATATATGAGGAAAAAATTAAGATGGCAATGGGGTCATGAATAAAACAAGTAGTTATACAAAATATGTTGTCTATAATTTTATGATCAGAAAAGTTTTGATTTGTAATTGTATCACTTTCACTTAGTATTCAGAGAACTGTTTTATTAGAAAAGAAAACCCATTGAGTATAAGTATTAACACTGTTAAACAGTGACAGTGACCACAACTATGACATTTCAATCACACCGGCCCACTATTCAGTTAGATGAACAATTTCTTTCGTCTTTTTGAGATGGAGTCTCCCTCTGTAACCAGGATAGAGTGCAGTGGTGCGATCTCAGTTCACTGCAACCTCTGCCCCCCGAGTACAAGCTATTCTCCTGCCTCAGCCTCCCAAGTAGCTGGGACTATAGGCATGTATGTAACATCACGTCCAGCTAATTTTTGTATTTTTAGTAGAGATGGGGTTTTTTATTTTTAGTACAGATGGGGTTTCACCATGTTGGCCAGGATGTTCTTAATCTCTTGACCTCGTGATCCATCTGCTTCCGTCTCCCAAAGTGCTGGGATTACAGGCATGAGCCACCACCCAGCTGGAAGATGAACACTTTCTATGGCCTGGAGAGTCTAAAGCGACTAATCAAGACTGCAACCCTCATTTGTAGGGAGGGTGAAAACAACAAAACAACTATATGAAATGAGAAACAATAATTCTTTTTAAAGTTGTTTGCCTCTCTTCTTTCCTCCACAGCCAAACTTCTTGAAAAAGATACCTACATTTGGTCTGTCTACTTTCCCATTTTCTATTCCTCAACCTACGCAGATTTAGTTTTGGCCCCTCTTCACGGTAATAAGCTAAGGAGCAGTTCTCAAACCATAACCACTTCCTCCTCCCTAGATTTCTAATTTTCTTTCTACCTCTTCTTGTTCTTATTTGCGACTCCTCCTGTCTCTTTAAAAACTGATGTTTCTCCAAGTTCCCATGCCAGGCTATCTTTTCACACCGATTTTCCTAAATGACCTAGCCCACTCTCATGGTTTTAAAGTTCTAGATATTTTCATTCAGATGACTCAAAAACATTTCAAGACAAAAAAAATCTTACTATTCTACTGTGTATCTGCATTTGGGTGTCAGATAGGCTCAAACTCAATCTACCCAAACTGAACTCACCCCTTTCTTTCCATACATACGTTTCTCCTCCCATGTTTCCCCTTAGTAAATGGTACCACTATCCATTCACAGTTGTTCAAAGTAGAATCCTGGGCATCATTCTACACATCTCTTCCCTGTCCCCACCTTCTGTGAATATCCAATCACCAAATTAACTGATTCCACTTCTTATAAAAAGCACTACATATATCTATCTGTCCACTTGCATCTCCCTCACTGCCAGTTCCAATAAAGGCCACAACGATCTTATGTCTACAGATCACTTTAACACTCTCTGGGATCTTACTCCATTGCAATCCATTCCACACTGTAGCCACAGTGTTCTTTCTAGATAGTATTATCTGTTCAAAACTCTACAATGGCTCATCCAGCGCCTCAGCCTCTCTCACAAGGCCTATTAGAACCACATGATCAGAAACTCCTGCTCAGCACTCCTGCCATTCCCATCTTTTATCAATTCTAGTTAGACTAGACAACTTTCATTCCATCCAATAAGCCACAGCAAGTTTAACCCAAGTCTTTGCATCTGCTGTTCACTCTAGATGAAAAGCTCAATTAACCAATTCCCACATCATATTCCCCATTAAGTCTTCTGTACTTCCCAAATCCCTTCAGGTACCACACCCCCATGATGCACTTTACATTTTCCCTATTACAGCCATTAACTTATTTTATGGCAACTACATTTTTATTTGCTTCTACATCCCATTAGGCAGTCTTATTTATTGCCATATTTCCAGAAACATAATAAAAACAGGTCCATAACCTCTTATCTAAAATCCTAAGATGCCCAAAGCTTTTTTTTTTTTTTTGAGATGGAGTCGCCCTCTGTTGCACAGGTTGGAGTACAGTGGCATGGTCTCAGCTCACTGCAACATCAGCCTCCCAGGTTCAAGCAATCCTCCTGCTTCAGCCTCCTGAGTACCGGAACTACTGGCGTATGCCACCACAGCTGGCTAATTTTTGTATTTTTAGTAGACACGGGGTTTCACCATGTTGGCCAGGCTGGTCTCAAACTCCTGACCTTGTGACCCACAAGCCTCAGCCTCCCAAAGTGCTAGGATTACAGGCGTGAGCCACCGCGCCCAGGCCAACAAAGTTTTTCACTAAGTTGGTGTCAAAATGTGTTTGCTGGGATAACCTAGCCAGAACTGACTAAAGGCTACTTACAGTCTTCATTTCTCCCTTTGCTATAAATATTCATGTTTTACTGTAGAAATATTAATGTGTTCAATTGTAAGTTGTTGTCTCAGATCCTACTATAGGGATGTTAATATATGCATTGCCTTGCTTTTCTTAAATCCAAATAATTCTCTATCCCAATACATATCTGATCTTAAGGATTTAATATAAAGGTTTACAGACCCTACAGTATTTGTTTTCAGCAGGAAAATTTTACAGTAGTTTACATTATGAAACAATGATGTGTGCTTTGTGAACAGGAAATATCTAAGAGTTCAACACGAGATTTTTCTGAATGTCTAAATTTCGCATTTTTAAGTGTGAAATACAGATTCCACTTATACTTGTCTATGTAATAAATATTCTCTTCTTTCTCATCTACAAATACCCAAACATTTGTAGTATGGAAAAGGTAAAGGAAAAGAAGACAAACTAAAGAGACAAATGAAAAGCAGAATCTCCCTTATGTTAAAAGAACCACGGATCCAATGGTGATTAAGTAAGGTCACAGAAAAAAACCTGAAATGACAGGAATGCTTAGATATAGAACTTCATTTTGGATATACAGCTTTTTGGTTTGTTTGCTTTTTGGAGACAGGGTCTCATTCTGTTGCTCAGGCTGGAGTGCAGTGGTACAATCACGGCTCACTGTGGCCTCGACCTCCTTAGCTCAGGTGATCCTCCCACCTCAGCCTCCCAAGTAGCTAGGACTACAGGCATATGCCACCACACCGAATTTCTTTTTTTTTAGACGGAGTCTTGGTTTGTTGCCCAAGCCCTGGAGTGCAGTAGCGCGATCTCGGCTCACTGCAACCTCCGCCTACTGACACCCAGCTAATTTTTAAATTTATTTTGTAGAGATAGGGTCTCCCTATAGTGCCTAGTTTGGTCTTGAACTCCTGGGCTCAAGCAATCCTCCTGCCTTGGCTTCCCAAAGTGTTGAGAGTACAGGCATAAGCCATTGCACCCAGCCCCTAAATTAATATTTTAAGTAAATATTTATATTACCCATAATTGTAATTTACTTCAACAAAAAACGTATGTACAGACTAAGTCCTTTATCTAAATTTGGTGAGTATCACAATCATCTGGGGACCTTTGAAAATGGATTCCCTGGCATCAGCTTTGGGAATGTTGATTCAATCAGTGTGAGAAGAGGCCTAAAAACTGTGTTTTTTTTTTTTTTTTTTTTTTTTTTTTTGAGACGGAATTTTGCTCTTGTTACCCAGGCTGGAGTGCAATGGCGCGATCTCGGCTCACCGCAACCTCCGCCTCCTGGGTTCAGGCAATTCTCCTGCCTCAGCCTCCTGAGTAGCTGGGATTACAGGCACGTGCCACCATGCCCAGCTACTTTTTTGTATTTTTAGTAGAGACGGGGTTTCACCATGTTGACCAGGATGGTCTCGATCTCTTGACCTCGTGATCCACCCACCTCGGCCTCCCAAAGTGCTGGGATTACAGGCTTGAGCCACCGCGCCCGGCCAAAACTGTGTTTTTAATAAGCAGCCAGATTTGGCACCATCGTTAGGAGATTAAAAAGAAAAAAAATCAAGAAACAGATTCTGACCTGTGTCTACTACAAAGATACATGCATAATTGAAGTAAAAGGTGAAAGTGCCATGTTCAGATGAAATTCACAACAGGTTTTATGGGAAATTGTTTCCATTTCAGATCAGATTATATTTCATCACTTGACCTAAGTGACTTCACAATTTAATATGACACATCAAAACAGAATTCTGAAAAACTTAAAATTCTTACCTAAATTGGCATACATTACAAACAGGTTGAAATACTGCTGTAAATGACGCCCATGCTCTGAAACTTCCCTTCTCAAGAGATTTAGTACTGCTCTTAGTAAGTGATCACTCAAGCTTAAGTTGTCATAAGCCTGTAAAGGATAAAACATTACCTGTTTTACAGCAACAAGGTATACGTATACTTCTATTTGCATAAAAAGGATATGCACATATGGTGATACAGGCATACATTTATGGAAGGACTGATCACACAAACAACTATTTTGCTTCTTGGGAAAAGGAATGGAGATCAGAGGTGGATCTCATTATAAATTCTTCACATTTGTAATTAAAAAAAAAATCTAAGGCTATTTAAAAAACCTTTAAAGTGGAAAAAAATCTACTTAACAGTAAATTTATAATTAAGCTACTGTATGTAACTGAACAGGGAAAATTCTCTGTTTTTAAAGAGCCAACAATTACTCTTCATTGCTATGCAGTAAATTTAAATGGAACTTACTGACGTCAGATTGAGCATGTGTTTTCTTAGGTAGGTAAACATATCAAGTAGATGCGTATGTTTGTGACTTCAACTTCCAGGAAACACAATTTATTTGTAAACATTTAATCATTTAGAAAGAAAGCTGTGTGATTACCTGACTAGAAGGTCCAGGAGATGCAAAAGGTGAAGGACATGGCCCATCTTGCAAGGAAAAATGTGCAATAAAGACTATAAGTTTTGCAAATGCACCCCTCACTTCTGCACTAGGGCACTCCAGAAGGTATTCGGAGAAGCGATTTGAAACATTAAAAAGGACATTATGAGCAAACCAAAAACGTACATTCTTGCTGTGACGAAGGAGAATACACAATGCATCATACCTAAAAAAAAAAAAAAAAAAAAAAAATCTATGACTATTAATTAAATAACTTGTTTTCTATAGTAAAACGATGAGTCTCTATGAACTAAAAAAAAGACAAAGATCTTCCTTCACTGCTGGGGAGAGAACCAGTAAAGGTTGCTTCTAGTAGTAAAACAATGGATAAATACTATGACTTGGTCTATTCTCTCAGAGTTACAAAACAGGTGAAAGCCTGTCCTCTAAAAATCCATTAACAAACTCTTCCTAGGTTCAACAACAAAATACCACCCCATTCCCTTATCTTGACATATCATGGCCTCTATACTTTCACAATTAGAAACTTAAGAAAACCATTTTAATTTTTACCATTTTAATCTGTGTCAGAATTCAATCGAGGTAAGCTAAAACCTAATACGTTTCTTTTTTTTTTAGTTTTCTTTTTCTTTTTCGAACTTTTGCTCCAAGCATTAATAAGTTTCATTAAGTAGCTTACACTTTTCAGTTTCATCGTGTAATCTTTGGTTTTGTTTGAGACAGAGTCTTGCTCTGCTGCCCAAGCTGGAGTGCAGTGGCAGTTATGGCTCACTGCAGCCTCAACCTCCCAGCCTTCCAAAGTAGCTGGGATTACACGTGTGTACAACCATATTCAGGTAATTTTTAAAATCTTCTTTGAAGAGACGGGGCTCTCACTATGTTGCCTAGGCTGGTCTTGCTGAGCTGCTGAGCTGAAGCAATTCTCCACCCTGGCCTCGCAAAGTGATGGGATTACAGGTCACTGTGCCCAGACTCATCTTGTAATCTTTGGTACAGAGAGGTCAAAGATATGATACAAGGTAATAGAAGCAGAAGTCAGCTTCTGAATAACAAAAGGCCATTTTTAGACTATTTTAATATGATTCCTCTCACTATTGCGGCCAAGAGTTATTTTTACTGTGTATTCCAAAGTTCAAACGAGATTCTCATGGTTTAGAAAAAAATAAAGCAGCCTACTAAAGAACCAAACCAAGTATTACTATAATAGAAATCAAAATCCAAAGCAATGTACCAATCACTGGCAGAGCCACGAACTACTTTCTTTGTGTGAAATCCTGTAGTAAAGAGGAACCTAGCAGCAAGTTGAATACTGATCATAGTGATTTCTTCTGCTTCAGGTAACAGGTGATCTTGCCCTATAAATAAAATGCAGATATAAAAACAAATTTTTATTTTCCAACCCCATTTTCAAACAAGTCTGCATTTCCATTAATTTTGAGAAGTCCTAAATTTGTTAAGAACCCTTCTCAGGCTACTTCAATTTAGACCCATTTAAAGTGAAAACATTAATTTTATGAACTTAAACATGTTGATGCCTACTAGAAATTATTCTTTATTACTAAGAAGCTAAACTCTTGATACTTACCGGGAGGAGGGTTTAAGTAAACGCCATTACATGTAAGCAGTTTTTTCATAAACTGAAAATACTCCAAACTGTACTGCATTCGGTTATGCATGAATTGTACATTCTGTTTCCGCACACTTCTCTCAATGGCTGATGGCATAATAATCTGATGAGGTCTCGTGGTGACAGCAAGCTCTGATATGTATCTTATCAACTCATCATCTTGGTCTATTGTGTCCATTCGTTCATAAAAAAGTATATAAGCATTCCACCACCTTTTCTGGCGCCTGTATGACATACGCTTCATCATGTGATCAAACACTTCTCCCATGTACTCTCCACCAAAACACTGGTTTTTCATTTCCTCATCATCATCCATTTTACATTCTGTTACATCACCATCATCAAATTTATACCAGCGATTTCTCTCACCATCTCCACCATTCCTTTGGATGATGTAAGAATAATAATGCCCCCCACTCGCCTGACCACTGTGTACAAGCACACCCACAAGTCTGTATTTTGTGCTTCCTGCTGTTTCACTTTCAGACTGCTCACTCTGTTGTATCAACTGACTCTCTGGGTTTACATTATCTCCTTCCAGCTTTGCGACACCTGCAACTGTGTAAGGTTCCATGTCCAGCTCTCGAGGAAATTCAAAATAATCATTGAACTTGATTGCACATTCTCTTTCCCAGTCATAGTCAAATCGTTTTAGTTGAATAGCAAGAACAGGAGGTAATTTTTTAATCAGCAAACGCTTTACGGTATCAACCTAAAATAAATAAGAGAAAGTTACCAAATGTTCTATTATAATCCACAGGAAAAACAAAAACAAAGAACAAAACAAAAAAACAAAAATCCAAGGAAACTTTTAAATAATGCTGAATTCTTAAGACTTAACTGAATTTTTAAGTATAAACAAATACATGACAATGAACATAATCAAGATAATCCTACAAGCTGATTCAAATGCTAACTAAAACTAAGAATACGCAAATGAAAATTTGTTGACTGGTTTCTGCACGTCATTGTTATCTAGCCATTATTACCTGTTTGATGCTGTTGTTCCCATGAAGGTGGTTTGCTATGCACAAACCAAAGAACTACAATAACAGTAGCTGTTATTTGTTACGCAATTAAGATCTCAGGTAATATACTAAGTGCTGCACAAGTAGAAACATAACTAATTCTTACAACCTTCTCTAGTGTGTACTACTGAACCTTAAAGATGAAAATTAGTAATCACAGAGAGGTCAAGTAACTTGCCTCAGGTCTCAGGAGCTGCGGGGGGCAGGCAGTATCACTTTACAGCCCACAGTCTCAATCTTTAAACTTTAAAGTTTCTCTAAGTGGGCTGCATAAGGTCAAAACATCACAAGTGACCTGAAGGTGAAAGGGTTTGGGAGCCCCCAAAATATACCTTATTATTATAATGCGTATGAATCATCTCTCCCAAAGAACTGCTAATAAGTTTCCAAAACAAATGGTTTTATAACATAGGTGGTAAAAGAAATCTTATGTGGCACCTGACTAAAATAAATCTTACGTGGTTCAATAAAGTAATTAATGGTTTTAGCAAATATTATGGTCTTGACAAGTAACCCTGGACATGACAGGAGAACTGTTCTCCTCTATCTTTGAGGGGTTCAATGGCAATGTGTTTCTTGGTAGAGATGGAAAATGTCTGTGTAACTTATATAAGAGAATATGCTATCACATTATTATGACTTTTAAAATTATTCACTCTTTTTTTAAGAGACGGGGTTTCACCATGTTGGTCAGGCTGGTCTCGAATTCCTGACCTCGTGATCCACCTGCCTTGGCCTCCTAAAGTGCTGGGATTACAGGCGTGAGCCACTGTGCCCGGCCCTTATTTACCTGTTTTTCTCTTATTTACCTAGCCCCTTTGGCGCTACTGTTTTTCCTTCCCTGCCAAACCTATTTATCAGTTATCACGTTGACTACTTCTCTGCTACCACTATACCAAGGTAGAAAAAAGTAAAAAGAGGGTGACTTTTAAGGATGAACCAAAAAAACCAATTTCTTCTAAATCCATTAAATGTAATCAAAATTATAATAAACAAAACTGGACAGCCCATACCTTTTTATTGCATTTTTCACAATGATATGCATTTGCACCTTCTAGTAAATCTCCTTTGACATATTGTTCCAAAGAATCAAGAAGATTTTGGTGATTTCTAATGTCTACGTTTAGAGTTGTAAAAGATTCTTCACATTCGTACCTAAAAACGATAAAACAAGAATTTATCCCTTAGTTTTCTAACCATTTATTTAGTTATGGATGTAATGAAAACTATATTTGCCATTTTTATAATATGAAACCCGTAAGTCATAGACTGTTAGCAATAAAAAAGTTAACCTAGGCCGGGCGCGGTGGCCCAAGCCTGTAATCCCAGCACTTTGGGAGGCCGAGGCGGGTGGATCACGAGGTCAAGAGATCGAGACCATCCTGGTCAACATGGTGAAACCCCGTCTCTACTAAAAATACAAAAAATTAGCTGGGCATGGTGGCATGTGCATGTAATCCCAGCTACTCAGGAGGCTGAGGCAGGAGAATTGCCTGAACCCAGGAGGCGGAGGTTGCGGTGAGCCGAGATCGCGCCATTGCACTCCAGCCTGGGTAACAAGAGCGAAACTCCGCGTCAAAAAAAAAAAAAAAAAAAAAAAAAAAAAAAAAAAAAAAAAAAGTTAACCTGATTATTAAGTGAAATGGTATTTTAAAGTTGAATCTGTCTGGGCTCAGAGCTTAATCTCTTTGTGGTATACCATGCTGCTTCTAGTGTTATCTGTTTAGATAGTAATTCATACAGAAGCCAAAGCATGAATTTATTAAATTCTGAAAAGGATCAACTATGAAAAAGCTAAATTTTTTAATGTTCTTCCTTTGCTGTAATGGAAACCTTAGTAAAGCACAAGTTTGAACACACCAATGAGTAGAAGATAAACAATCTGAGTAGGAGCTACAATCCCAATTTTGCATATACACATGTGTCTCAACAGAAACCGGAAAAGTGATGAGACGCATGCATATATACAAAACAAGGCAAGTAAGGAATATATTATCAACCATTAATTTCCGGTTTCTGATGAGACACATGTATATTGAAAAACAAGGGAAGTAAGGAATACATTATCAACCATTAATTCATTCAATGGATAGACTGAGTGTGCCTTCCATGTGTAAAAGCACTGTGGGATATTCAATGTTTAAGATGGTCCCCTCATTTAAGGAATTTTAAACTCAGGAAAAAAAATAGGTACAAAAAGGCATTTATGAATGGTATGAATGGAATATAAAGCAGGTATTAAGCAAATTGTTACTATATAATCAGGGAATACCCCATAGGAAAAAAAAAGACGTTAGATCTTAGACCACACTTCAAAAACAGGATATTCTTCAACATCTATAAAAAGAAGGTGTTCTAACATTAGAGGTCAGCAAAATCTGTAAAGGGCTGGATAGCACATATATTAGGCTTTGTGAGGCATATGGTCTGTGCAGCAACTACAGATGCTCTTTGCTTATGAAATGGCTACATCCCAATAAACCCATCATAAGTTAAAAATACTGAAAGCTGAAAATGCATTTAATACACCTAACTTAACAAACATCATAGCTTTAGCCTAGTCTAGCCTACCCTTAATGTGTTCAGAACACTTACACAGTTGGGCAAAATCTTGCAACACAACGCTTCATGCAATTATCTCATGTAATTCACTGAATACTGTACTGAAAGTGAAAAACAGAATGGTTCTATGGGCACTCTAAAAGTAGAGTTTTTTTCTTTTTTGTATTTAACAAAGTGAGGTCTCACTCTGTCACCCAGGCTGGAATGCAGTGGCATGATCATAGTTCACTGTAACTTATAACTCCTGAGCTCAAGCGATCCTCCTGCCTCAGCCTCCCAAGCCGCTAAGACTACAGGCGTCCACCACCATGCCCAGCTAGTTAAAAAAATAAGACTAGTTTAGTTGTTGATCAGATATTAGGGATCTGATTTCAAGATCATGATCTTTTTACATTTCACTTGCCAAAAAAACCCAGTGATTTCCAAATAATTTAGAAAATTATCTAAAACTAAGGAGGACTGACAGAACAAATGACTCCAAAGTTGGCTGTCTTTATTAAAAATTAAAAACAAGGCCGGGCACGGTGGCTCAAGCCTGTAATCCCAGCACTTTGGGAGGCCGAGGAGGGTGGATCACGAGGTCAAGAGATCGAGACCATCCTGGTCAACATGGTGAAACCCTGTCTCTACTAAAAATACAAAAAATTAGCTGGGCATGGTGGCGCGTGCCTGTAATCCCAGCTACTCAGGAGGCTGAGGCAGGAGAACTGCCTGAGCCCAGGAGGCGGAGGTTGCAGTGAGCCGAGATCGTGCCATTGCACTCCAGCCTGGGTAACAAGAGCAAAACTCCGTCTCAAAAAAATAAAATAAAAAAAAAAAAAAAATAAAAACAAGAGGGCTGGGCGCAGTGGCTCATGCCTGTAATCCCAGCACTTTGGGAGGCTGAGGTGGGCAGATCTCATGGTCAAGAGATCGAGACCACCCTGGCCAACATGGTAAAACCTCATCTCTACTAAAAAATAAAAAAATTAGCCGGGCGCGGTGGCTCAAGCCTGTAATCCCAGCACTTTGGGAGGCCGAGGCGGGTGAATCACGAGGTCGAGAGATCAAGACCATCCTGGTCAACATGGTGAAACCCCGTCTCTACTAAAAATACAAAAAATTAGCTGGGCATGGTGGCGTGTGCCTGTAATCCCAGCTACTCAGGAGGCTGAGGCAGGAGAATTGCCTGAACCCAGGAGGCGGAGGTTGTGGTGAGCCGAGATCGCGCCATTGCACTCCAGCCTGGGTAACAAGAGCGAAACTCCGTCTCAAAAAAAAAAATAAAAATAAAAAAATTAGCTGGGCCTGGTGGCGCACACTTGTAGTCCCAGTAGCTTGGGAGGCTGAGGCAGGAGGTTCACTTGAACCCAGGAGGCGGAGGTTGCAATGAGCCGAGATCATGTTACTGCACTCCAGCCTGGTGAAAGAGCAAGACTCCATCTCACAAACAAACAAACCAAGAGGTTAAAATTTTATTGTTCGCCTAATATAAAAGGCCTTTCGAAAGGACTAAAAGTTGCCTAGGCTAAGTAAACATATGAGTGGGAAGACTATAACTTGATAGAAATTTCTCATTTATATAGTATTACCTCTCCCACAATCATTTCCTGGTAATCAAAAACAAAATACTCCCACAAACCACATGTATACTCAACCCATGACTATATTTAATACAGTTTGGATTGTAGAAAATACTATCTTACTGTGACATTTTGGTGAAAAACGATTGCAAATCAACATTAATTTGTAATATAACAAGACAAGTCCCAAAGTAAAACTTCCATATGACAGACATGTGTGTTTATCAGTAATGAACTAATAGAAGCCCTTAATCAATTTTCTTTTTAAGTCGAACAATTTGTTTTGTCAATCTTTTTCTTGTAATAAATTTTTTACAAGAAAAAATTTAGTTGACAAAAATTAAGTTTTGTCAACTCTGATATAAATGTTTCATATACAAATATACCTTAATGACAATAATCAATGCTATTTTAAAAGTCATTATTTCATTTGTATAGAAAATACTACCACAGCTTTGTCGTCTTCTAAACTTACTGTATTTACACTATTATAATCACTCAAGTTCTAAGATAAAGGGCAAATTTATAAGTAACACCTGTAGCTATATGCAAAATGCCATTTTATTTCCCCAGGAATAATCATCTGTAAAAGAATATGAGAGGAGGCTGGGCGTGGTGGCTCATGCCTGTCATCTCAACACTTTGGGAGGCTGAAGTGTGAGGACTGATTTTGAGGTCAGGAGTTCTGAGACCAGCTTGGGCAAAATAGCAAGATCCCATCTCTAAAATAACTAAAAATTAGCCAGGTGTGGTGGCACATGCCTGTAGTCCCAGCTATTTGAGAGGCTGAGGCAGTAGGATTGCTTGAGCCCAGGAGTTCAAAGTTACTATGAGTTGCCATCATGCCACTGCACTCCAGCGTGGGCAACAGACAGAAACCCTGTCTCGAGAAGGAAAGAAAAGCGAAGAAAAGGAAGGAAGCGAAGGAAGGAAGGAAGGGAGGAAGGGAGGGAGGGACTGTAAGAGTATAATATAATAAAATGGCTAAGAGATCAGGTAGAGTAGAAGGAACTAAAAGTTATTTGACAAAAACAAAAAACAGCCCCACAGCAGTAAGGTAGTATGCACAGTATATAAATCATTCAGTTTCAGGTATTTAATAATCAGTGACATACTCCACTTTTGTATGTAAGTACTAGTAAAAATTTTATTTTTGTTAGTATATACATGGTACAACATATACTTTCAATGTGTAATTATAGTACGTACCTATGTGGGCAGCCTTGGCAGATCTTCTGATCAGCAAAGGAACCTCCTAAGACTTTACTTAGCATAGCTGGATGTCCTAAAGCTTTTAAAGCTTCATCTAAACTATCCACCAATGAATTAAAAAATTCTAAAGCATCGTGTTGTTCACGTAGATTAACAGGTTCACCCCAAAGCCTAAGAAATGAATGAAATAAAACATGTAACATGTGACATTCACAGAACAATATGTACAACTGTATTTTTCAGGGGAAAAAAAAGTAACAGGACCACAAACAACAGTATATAAAACTGAGATTTCACTCCTCAACTATATGGAAAAGGAGAAAAAAAATGAATGTGCTTTCCCTATAGAGTGTAGTGGGGTAAGAGAGTGAGCCTCATAGTAAAACTAGTACTCTAGTGGCAAAGAACTGCCATGAAACCAGTGGGCTAACTGATGGGTAGTATGGCTCCAAGAAGAATGGTCGCTTCAGGTGATATGGCACATGCATGCCATTTTGAATACAATTAAAAATACTATTAAGATGAGGTGGTGGATCTCACTCTTATGTGGATGTTACAATTAGCTATTATTTCATTTTGCTTAAATTTTGGATTACAGATAGTAAAAATATCAGATCTAGTTACCCTTAAATTTATTTTTTTCCCAAGTGAAGAGAGAAAAGTTTAACTTGGTCTAGAGTTAATCTCTTGAATAATCTAAGAAAACACACCATCACTACATATCACAAAATGAGAACTGATACTGCTAAAACCCAGGCACTGCTGGAAACTATCAATAATACCTGATTTTGTATTTACAGAATAATGCACGTAGAGAATTTAAGTGTATTTGTTCTAAGCAAGAAATGACATTTTTAAGTATGCCAGAAGAACTGTCTTTTGATACTTTTGTAAAACCTCTTCTATGTAGCAAATAATCTCATCTTTATTATATTTTAGACAAGAATTTATATACAGTAAGTTTAAAATCAAATACATTATTTGTTAAAAATCAGCTTGTTTCGTTATTGGAAACTTTACCAGGCCATTCTATTTACTTTGAAACAATACTCAACTCCTCAAACTTTCAAACATATAATCCGACTTACTAATTTCAAAAGGGAAAAGGTACCCTTTATAACGGAGAGATCTGTTAAGACACCAAGAAATCAAAATTATTATCACTTAATAATTAAGTGGATAACACATGCCTCCCAATACAGTGCAGTGAGAAACACATAACATCACTTATGTAGTTTCACTGCCCACACTCCCTCAACATTTAACATGAAGCTAATCATGAGGAAACAATCACACAAGTAAAAAAAGACACCGTGCAAGACAACTGGCCTGGACTCTAAAAATTTCAGTGCGATACAAGTGACAAGTTAGGGAGATTATTTTACATAAAAGGCAACTAAAGAGGTAACAGCCATGCCCGGTGCAGTGGCTCATGCCTGCAATCCCAGCACTTCGGATCCAAGGCGGGCAGATCACCTGAGGTAAGGAGTTCAAGACCAGCCTGGCCAACATGGTGAAACACCGCGTCTATTAAAATACAAAAAGTAGCTGGGCATGGTGGCTGGTGCCTGTAATCCCAGCTCCTCGGGAGGCTGAGGCTGGAGAATTGCTTGAACATGGGAGGTGAAGGCTGCAGTGAGCTGAGATCACAACACAGCACTCCCGCCTGGGTGACAGAGTGAGACTCTGCCTCAAAAATAAATAAATAAAATAAGAGGTAACAGCTGAATTCTTGTGATTCCTTCATGAGTATCAGATTGGGGTAGAAAGATAAGTTATAAAGACCATTATTGAGAAATCAGAATATATATTGATGAATATTAGAGATTAAAAATTGATATTATATTACTTGGATATAATTGTATTATACATAAGTAGGAAAATTGCCTTATTCTGTTTTTTTTTTTGTTGTTGTTGTTGTTGTTGTTGAGACGGAGTTTCGCTCTTGTTACCCAGGCTGGAGTGCAATGGCACGATCTCGGCTCACCGCAACTTCCGTCTCCTAGGTTCAGGTAATTCTCCTGCCTCAGCCTCCTGAGTAGCTGGGATTACAGGCACGCACCACCATGCCCAGCTAATTTTTTTTTTTTTTTTGTATTTTTAGTAGAGACGGGGTTTCACCATGTTGACCAGGATGGTCTCGATCTCTTGACCTCGTGATCCACCCGCCCTGGCCTCCCAAAGTGCTGGGATTACAAGCTTGAGCCACCGCGCCCAGCCGAAAACTGCCTTATTCTGATATATCATCTTTTTTTTTTTTGTATTTTGAGATAGAGTCTCACTTTGTTGCCAGACTGAAGTGCAATGGCATGATCTTGGCTCATTGCAACCTCCACCTCCTGGGTTCAAGCGAACCTCCTGCCTCAGCCTCCCAAGTAGCTGGGACTACAGGCACATACCACCAGGCCCAGCTAATTTTTTGTATTTTTTAGTAGAGATGAGGTTTCACCATGTTGGCCAGGATGGTCTCAATCTCTTGACGATGTGATCCGCCCACCTCGGCCTCCCAAAGTGCTGGGATTACAGGCGTGAGCCACTGCGTCCGGGTTAATATATGATCTAAGATACATGCTGAAGTATGAAGGGGTAAAGTGTCATGTTTGCAAATTACAATCAATTTAAAATAAACCAAAAACCAAGTATACATATGGCAAGATAAGCAAATATGCCAAAATGTTAACTAGTAAAACTGGGTAAAGAATATAATATAAAGGTGATGATTATACCTCTTCTTTACCTTTACTGTAGGTTTGAAATTTTTGAAAATAAAAAAGTGAGGTGAGGAAGTGTAGTTAACTAACCCACGTGTATCAAGAGTAGATTATGTATCTAAAGTGTGGATAATCCAAAGTGCTAGTCTATACAAACCGAGCTCCACCAGCACAGGGAGTAACTAATTGAAAAGTCGAAAAGCAAAGGCATTACAAGTGAAAGAATTATAACTGAATGACAAATTAAGACAAAAGCTTAAAGAGAATAAGCCTTGGCTGGACGTGGTGGCCCACATCTGTAAGCCCAGCATTTTGGGAGCTGAGGCGGGTGGATCACCTCGAGTCAGGAGTTCAAGACCAGCCTGACCAATATGCTGAAACCCCATTTATATTAAAAATACAAAAATTAGCCAGGCATGGTGGCAGGCGCCTGTAATCCCAGCTATTTGGGAGGCTGAGACAGGAGAATTGCCTGAACCCAGGGGTAGAGATTACGGTGAGCCGAGATCATGCCACTGCACTCTAGCCTGGGTGACAGAGGACTCTGTCTCAAAACACCACCACCACCACCCCACCAGTATAAGACTGTTTGTGCACTTCAATTCGGCAGAGCATCAACAGAAATGCTAAAAGCCTTAAAGCAGAGATGGAATAATCTAGAGAAAGAAGACAGAGCTGGAATAGTCAGAGAGGAAGGAGAGTGTTATGCTAGATGATGGGACTAAAAGCAAAATGAGAGCTGGGTGGGAGGGTGGTCCACACAAGCCACTAGTACAGAGTAAGTAGAGGGCCTAGTTAGGGGAGGAAAAGGAATTTATACTGCTCTGTCAGAAGGAGGAAAGGCATACTAGAGTATCAGTGTCAGGTGACCCTTTGTTTCCTACTCCTCTCAGCTGGCTGGGAAGCACCTTGAAGGGAGTCTAAGGAAGACTTACAAACCAAATGAAACCAAACCTCACTGCTATAAAGAATTATAGCTCTTTTCATACACAGTAAGAGTTACATGGTTGTACTGTAACCATGTTTTTAGCACAGTGCATGACGTAGTACTGACATTAAAAAAAGTCAAAACAAGATCAAAATGTAATTGAGTTTTCTAACTTAAAAAATATAGTTGGTGAGGGCAAGTTTCCCTTTATAGATCTTTTGTAGCTAGTAAATGAAAAAATCAGTTATATTATTATTATTTTGTAACCCTGAAAAAATCCTGTATTAAGACAATGATAATCGGCTGGGTGAGGTGGCTCACTCCTGTAATCCCAGCACTTTGGGAGGCCAAGGCAGGTGAATCACCTGACACCGAGTTCAAGACCAGCCTGGCCAACGTGGTGAAACCCCATCTCTATTAAAAATACAAAAAATTAGTGGGATATGGTGGCGGGCGCCTGTAGTCCCAGCTACTTGAGAGGCTGAGGCAGGAGAATTGCTTAAACCAGGTGTCCCCAAACTTTTTACACAGGGGGCCAGTTCACTGTCCCTCAGACCGTTGGAGGGCCGCCACATACTGTGCTCCTCTCACTGACCACCAATGAAAGAGGTGGCCCTTCCTGAAGTGCAGCGGGGGGGGGGGCTGGATAAATGGCCTCAGGGAGCTGCATGCGGCCCATGGGCCGTAGTTTGGGGATGCCTGGCTTAAACCCAGGAGGCGGAAGTTGCAGTGAGCCAAGACTGAGCCACTGCACTTCAGCCCGGGCAACAGAACAAGACTGTCTCCCCTCCCTGCAAAAAAAAGGCCAGGTACAGTGGCTCATGCTTCTAATCCTAGCACTATGGGAGGCTGAGGCAGGCGGATCATGAGGTCAGGAGTTCGAGAGCAGCCTGGCCAACATGGTGAAGCCTGTCTCTACTAAAAATACAAAAATTAGCTGGGCATAGTGGTGCACGCCTGTAATCCTAGCTACTCGGGAGAACTGCTTGAACCTGGGAGGCGGAGGTTGCAGTGAACTGAGATTGTGCCACTGCAGTTCATCCTGGGCAACAGAACAAGACTCCACCTCAGGAAACAAACAAAAAGATAATGATAATCAATTGTGGTTAACATCATAAGACAGACATTATCATGCCATTCCTCATGGAGATCAACATTAACCCCTATGAAGTAGCTTTACTTATCCATTCCACAACAAGAAAAATAATACCTCAATCTTATCGAGCTTCTCTAGCTCACAACGTGTTTATAGAAGACACAGGTGACCAAGAAAAACAGAAAATAATAAAAGACCACAGGGATTCCATCAACAAAATTCAGACTATGGGGAAATTTACAGGGTAAACTATTTGTCCCCTGATTCTCGCCTAATTGTAAAGGGGGAAAAAACCCAGATTAATAATCAAGAGTCATCATCAACCATTTGTGGTAAATGGACCTCAACTGAATCTTAATTTTTAAAAGTATCAGTAAAAACTGATTCTGAGATAACTCCTTAAATTCAAACACTGAGAGATATTTGATATTAAGCAATTTAAAAACTTAATGGTATCATGGTCATGTTTTGAGACAGACATTACAGACCCATACTAAAGTATTTGTAGATGGAACTAAGTTTCGCTTCACAACAATCTAGAAAGAAATAGGTAATGGATGGGTGCGGTGGCTGACATCTGTTATCTCAGCACTTTGGGAGGCTGAGGTGGATGGATCACCTGAGGTCAGGGGTTCGAGACCAGCCTGGGCCAGAATGGTGAAACCATGTCTCCACTAAAAATACAAAAAATGAGCCAGGTGTGGTGGTGGGCACCTGTAATCCCAGCTACTTGGGAGGCTGAGGCAGCAGAATTGCTTGAACCTGGGAGGCGGATGTTGCAGTCAGCTGACATCGTGCCATTGCGCTCCAGTCTGGGCAACAAGAGTGCAACGCCGTCTCAAAAACAAAAAACAAAAAAAGAGAGAGAGAGAAAAGAAATAGGTAATAGGCATACAGATTGAATGATGCTGGCCACAAGTTGTCTACTACTGAGGTTGGGTGACAAGTATACAAGGGGCCATACTATTTTTTCTACTTTTGTATTTATTAGACATTTTCCTAATAAAAAGTTAATAATATCATTAAGAGACTAAAGGATGCTGCCCTTCCTTACCATGATGAAAAACAAAAAACAACCCACCCAACTGAGGACAGTTTGAATATTACCAGTGCTTAAAAAAAAAGATGCCTTCCAACATGTCTTTTAGAGGTTCTATGTTAGTGTACTGAGTTGTTCATTTATGAAGTATCTGTATTACTATTCATCCAGTTTACCTGAACTGTTTCCAAAATCCTCTGGGCACGTAATACTGCAGTCGAGAAGCAGCTAAATGACCAAAGATGACCTGAAGGTGTCTTAGGACACCAATGTTGTACTCTTTTCTATCTTCAGTTTTACTTAATGCTGGTTTATCTTCAAATTGTTGAGGATATCCAAATACATCATCCCTGGGATCGACATTGCTCTAGAAACCAAAAAACATCACCAATGAGCTAAAGTAGAGTATAATATGATGAGAGAAGTGCCAAGCAGTTAGGGAACAAATGACTTGTATTCCTATTATGCTCATTTCCAAAGCACTTAATTTTTTTTTTCTTTTTGGGTGTCTTGCATTGGAATTAAATTTTATAAATTTTTAGTATTTAGCATTTATCCCCACCATTTCACATAATATTTATCATAACCAAATATCTATAACCATGTATAAGAAAGAAAGATAATACAGTATAGAGTTAACATAGTTAATTTAGACTGAACCAGACACAAACGCAGGCTCTACCACTTATAAGCCAACTAACTTTGAGCAAGTAAAAATTACTTAAACTTTCTAAGCTTTAAGTTTCTTTTTTTTAAATTTATTTATTTTTTATTTATTTTTAACGAATTTTTTTTTTTTTAAAGACAAAGTCTCACTCTGCCGTCCAGGCTGGAGTGCAGTGGCACAATCTTGGCTCACTGCAACCTCCACCTCCCAGGTTCAGGCAATTCTCCTGCCTCAGCTTCCTGAGTAGCTGGGATTACAGGCATGCGCCACCACGCCCAGCTGATTTTTGTTATTTTTAGTAGAGATGGGTTTCACCATGTTGGTCAAGCTGGTCTCGAACTCCTGACCTCGTGATCTGCCCGTCTCGGCCTCCCAAAGTGCTGGGATTACAGGCGTAAGCCACCGTGCCTGGCCAGCTTCAAGTTTCTTTATGAGTGAGTGGGATAATATATTCCTCATGTAGCTGGTGTATATAACATGCTCAGATCTATCAATAAAGTATACCTATTAATATTAGCATAGTCATTCTTTGCTTAATGGCAGGGATAAACTCTGAGAAATGCATCATTAGGTGATTCTGTCATGTGAACATCGTAGAGTGTATCTATAAAACATAGATGGTATAGCCTAATTGCTCCTAGGTTGTAAACCTGCACAGCATGTTACTGTACTACATACTGTAGAAAACTGTAACCCAACAGTGAATCTGGGCATTTAAAAATAGAAAAAATTAACTCAAAATGAATCAAAATTCTAAATGTAAAAGCTAAAACCACAGAACCCTAAAAAAAAAAAATAGAGCAAAAGCTTCAAGATAATGGATTTGGCAATGATTTCTTAGATATGACACTAGAGGTATAGACAACAAAATAAAGTATCTGCAAATCACATATCTGATATGGAGTTAATATCTAGAACATAGAACTCTTAAAACTCAAAAATACAACTCCATTTAAAAACAGACAAAGATGATGCATAAGTGGCCAATAATAAGCACAGCAAAAGAGGCTAAAAATCATTAACCATTTGGGAAATGCAAATCAAAACCATGACGAGATACTACCTCACACTCAATTAGGGTGTCAACTATCAGAGAGAGCAAATATAACAAGTGTTGGCAAGGATGTGGAGAAACTGGAACTCTTGTGCACTGCTGGTAGGAATGCAAAATGATGCAGTCACTGTAGAAAACAGTTCCTCGAAAAATTTGGCTGTGTAAGGTGGCTCACACCTATGATCTCAACATTTTGAAAAGGCCAAAGCAGGTGGATCACCTGAGGTCAGGAGTTCGAGACCAGCCTGGCCAACACGGTGAAACCCCATCTCTACAAAAATACAAAAATTAGTGGGAAGTGGTGGTACAAGCCTGTAGTCCAGCTACTCAGGAGGCTGAGACAGGAGAATCACTTGAACCAAGAAGGCAGAGGTTGCAGTGAGCCCAGATTGCACCACTGCACTCCAGCCTGTGTGACAGAGTGAGTGTCTCAAAAAATAAATAATAATAATAATAAAAAGCATCACCATATATCCAGTACTTCCACTTCTGAGCATATACCTAGAAATACTGTGAGCAGGGTCTCAAACAGATATTTGTATATCCATGTTCATGGCAGCCTTATTCACAATAGCTCCAATGGGGAAGCAATCCAAATGTCCACTGACAAACGAATGGATAAGCAAAATGTGGTATATACATATAATGGAATATTACTCAGACTTTAAAATGAAAAAAGCCAGCTATGAAAAGGCAAATAGTGTATGATTTCACTTATATGAGGTATGTAGAGTAGTCAATAATAGAGACAAATAGTAGTTGCCAGAGGCTGTGGGGAGGGGGAATGGGGAGTAGTTTAATGGCAACAGTTTCAGTTTTGCAATATGAAGAGTTTTGGAGATGGGTGGTGGTGATGGTGTACAACAATGTAAATGTATTTAATATTACTGATCCGTACATTAAAAACAGTTAACATGGCAAGTTTCATGTTATATGTATTTTATCACAATTTAAAAAACAATAGGAGTAGTGGTAGAAGATGTAACATGAAGACAGAATTCCTAAAGGCCATAATCATATTGCAGCTACAGAACAGAACTTGTTTTTACATTTAACTGAGTATCTTTCAATATTCTCTAAATTGTATCTGAGACCTCTGATATAGAAATAGACAACATCCAGTCCCTGCCCATGAGAAACTTATAGTCTAGAGATGAAAACAAAAACGTAAGCCAAAAAGAAAACCAAAACCCGAAAAAACCCACGAAAACTCCCACAGTGCACTGGGGTGCCGAGACAACATACAGCAGAAGATAGCTTGAGAGTAAAGGTGGGACAACTTATTTGAAATTGTATTATATTTTTGTGTGCTTCATTTACTTCTTTACTACAATTACCTATATCTACTTGTGTTTAACTCAACATCCCAGGTATATGATGGGTTACAGAACTGGAATTTGAATTACATTTTTTTTCCTCAGAGCAGTGATTTCTAACCAGGTATGGGTGTAAGTGTCATTTATGAAGCCTTTTTCTTTTTCTATACCCAATTCCTGCAGATACGAAGCTTTTAAAAAAAATAAAAATGCTCAGACCCCAATCCCTAGACCATCTGGTACAGCCGGTCTAGGGAAAAGTTGAGGCAAGTCGATGTTACAGAAGCTCCATAATTGATAAACTACTTCTTCAGAGCAAAATAAGTTCTGGCAACTGAAGGGAGAGAATGAAAAGAACCATTTACTACAATTAGAATACACTCTGGCTTCTGTCCTCAGTGCCATCACTATAAACAGGAAAAGTTAAAATAAAACCAAGGAAATATCATAAGGTAAGTACAAATATGACCACAGCTTAAGTCTTCTTGCCATATGGTCTTCTTTAAAGAGCCATCTTATAGTTATGTCAATTCTGATTTGCCACTACAACTCAACTTCCTCACTGCTTTATATTGCATTGGATACTCAACTCAGTGGGCAGCCTAAATTTTGCCACAAGACCATGTAACTATTTAAAAAGTAGGGGAAGTTTGTTTCCTAATTGAGAATAGTTATTATCTAATGGAAATTCAAAGAGTAACCTAAAAGCAAGCACAGACAGTGAAACTGGCGGATACTATATAACTTGGCATAAAATAGCAAATTAAAAATTTGAAAAAAATTTAAAACGTATTAAAAATGAATGTTCCTACCATTAAACAAACTCCATATTATACTAAATATACCAAAATAATGAGTATATTAACTGTTGCTTTTTTTTTTTGAGACTAAGTCTCACTCTGTCATCTAGGCTGGAGTGCAGTGGTGCCATCTTGGCTCACTGCAACCTCCATCTTCCAGGTTCAAGCAATTCTCCTGCCTCAGTCTCCCGAGTAGCTGGGACTACAGGTGCATGCCACCATACCCAGCTAATTTTTGTAATTTTGGTAGACACAGGGTTTCACTATGTTGGCCGGGCAGGCTGGTCTTGATCACCTGCCTCAGCCTCCCAAAGTGCTGAGGTTACAGGTGTGAGCCACCGCAACTGGGGAACTGTTCCTTTAAAAATGTACAAACTATTCTAAAAATTAATTGCAGTTTAAAGTCTGGTAGGTAGTGAGCACTATACTGTCTTAAGAGGGAGCAGTTCATGCTGGCTGGCAGAAGTTCATTCCTACTTACTTTTTTTTTTCTAAGACAGGGTCTCACTCTGTCACCCAGGCTAGAGTGTAGTGGCATGATCAAGGCTCACTGCAGCCTCAAGCTTCCAGGCTTAAGCAATCGTCCTGCATCAGTATCCTGAGTAGCTAGGACTACAGGTGTGTGCCCAGCCCATCCCTACTTTCGAATACACTTTAACAGGTCTGATGAAATATAATATTCTCTTAAGAGAGAATAGTATCTTATATCATGACTTGAAACACAGAAAACAGAAATGGTAACTCAAATTTACCTCATTGTCCTGCTTCTCATCCCCAGACATATCATCATCTACATCACTACCTGTGCCTTCAATTGCAAGAATACCATTCCTAATGGAAGGAATCATGTAGAGTTGCTGAATCACAGAATTCATGTAACAAGTAGCACCGGCATTTTTCAGCCCCACAAATCCTTTGGGTGGGCGGGGCCCAACAGGTGGCAGATATTCCCACTCAGTAAGTGCTTCACAAGCTGAGAGAAGAAAAGATTCTTGTAGCATGAACACAGCCATTTTGTCCTTTCAAACTCTATTATGCTGACAAAGCAACCCTGGCAATAATTCTACTACCCATAATTCCACTAAACCTGCCACAACCTGAAGCAGTGTTCTAAGTTTGCGCTTCATCTTCAAACAATCTAAAATATACAGCAGCGTGCACCATTGTACAGATTCTTATCCAATCACCCACAAACCTGTGTTTTATCTGATGTTGTTTCTGTGGCAGTCTCAAAAGAACAAGATGGTATATCCCTAATGTCTACATGCTAACTTTACTTGCATCTTCATTTTTCAGCCATTATTAACTTTCTTAATATTTTATACTTTTGCCTTCAAATTTGCCAAGGAATGAAATGTTATCTTAATATATCAACACATCCTACTTTTCTCAGTTTTAAATAATCCTAAAACCACATGGGCTCACATCCTGGTTCTGATGCTTATCAACTTTTTCCCCCCACCTTTAGGTGACCTTATGTTTCTTCCTAATAAACGTAATAATAAAAGTAACACTTGCCTTTCTTATGTCTATAATGCTATTTTGAGGAGCAAGCAAGACAGTAATTTGTGATAATTGTAAACCACTGTACATCTTCCTATCTCCCTCCCACCTAATATAAACCTGGAAACAAGTATCATTGTCTAGGGAACCAGTTAATTACATATTACTGACAAAGTTACATAGCCAAAAATGCAACCAGGTAAACATTTATGTGTTGGCAGGGAACAATGACAGATACAGAGCAATGCAAAGAACACTGTACTATACTCTATGATCTGTGACGATAATATTAACCCCCATCAAGTTAAAAAAAATACAATACATAGATTTGATAGGACAGCTAAAGATCTAACCTTTTTAAGCAATCAATTTATTCAGAAATTCCTAACATGTTATTTAAAACTTCCTAACATTCTGAAACACATCAAGAAGTAATTTGACATGTTCTTAAAGATTTGCTATCATCAGTTATATTTTTAAGTGTTCTCAACAGTGATTTTCTCTTAAAACGAAACAGCACCAATTATGCTTATTTCTGTTTTTTTCTGTTATTAATGTTTTATATTGCCCTTGCCCCTTTTGAGCTTCAATTTCTTATCTGTAAGGTCTGAAATCTGCAGTCTATTCATGTGCTTGATGTGGGCATTAAATGAGAACATAAATAAGGTGCACTAAAATGGTAACTTCTCATGTTCTAATTTTCAAGGCCAGATTTTCTTTGAACGCATAAAAATAATGTTAAGGAACTTCTAAGTGAGGACCTGAAAGGTTTTCCAATACTTGCAATTTAAAGTTTTAAGACTGGGACAGGTGCGGTGGCTCACACCTGGTATCCCCAGCACTTTGGAAGGCCGAGGCAGGTGGATCACCTGAGGTCAGGAGTTCAAGACCAGCCTGGCCAACATGGTGAAACCCTGTCTCTACTAAAAAAAAACAAAAAATTAGCTGGGTGTGGTGGCAGGTGCCTGTAATCCCACCTACTTGGGAGGCTGAGGCAGAAGAATCACTTGAACCCGAGAGGTGGAGGTTGCAGTGAGCCAAGAACACCCCATTGCACTCCAGCCTGGGCAACAAGAGCAAAACTCTGCCTCAAAAAAAATAAAGTTTTAAGTCTGTACTACTCTACGGCATTTAATTTGGCTATTTTTAAATCTGGAGTTTAGATTTTATGTCAGGTTTCATGAGATGAAATTTATCTTGCCAAATGGCCATATCACTTATAGGGTGACATTTAACAAATGTTTGAATTTTTTTCTATATTAAGGTTGTCTGCTTATAATGGTCTTAACTATTCATTTGTTTTTCTTTTTTCTTTTGAGATGGAGTCTTGCTCTGTCATCCAGGCTGGAGTGCAGTGGCGCCACCTCAGCTCACTGTAACCTCCATCTCCTGGGTTCAAGTGATTCTCCTGTCTCAGCCTCCTGAGTAGCTAGGATTACAGGTGTGTGCCACGACACCTGGCTAATTTTTGTATTTTCAGTAGAGATGGGGTTTCTCCATGTCGAACTCCTGGCCTCAGGTGATCCATCCACCTTGGCCTCCCAAAGTGCTGGGATTACAGGCCTGAGCCACTGCACCTGGCCTATGTTATTAATTACACATTCACTCACTAAAAATGTTGAACTAGTTACTGAAAGAAATATGTAAGTTGGAACTAGAAGAAAAACAGATAAACAGAAATGTGAAACACTGGAATGATCAATTATCACATTATATTTTAAAATACTTACTGGTTATTGCTGTGCCAATGTAATACATTTCAGTCAAAGAATCTACTATTTGTTTGAGATTCCTCACACAGCCAACAGCTAATGCTACAAGTAATTCAAAACCAGCATTAATTGTAGGTGGTGAACCACAAACTGGAATAGCCTGTTCGGCTGGGAGCTCTCCATTTCTCATATACTGTAGGTAAACATTGGATGCAGGAAATATGAAATCATCAATTAATTCCTAAAAAGTTGAAAAAGAGAGTACATATTAGCAATGCTAGGCATTTTTAGGGAAAAAAAGTCTCCTGTAAGTAAATAATTTTAAAGTTACTCATTAGAATTTAAGATCTCATTACATCTCAGAAAACTCAAATTTTCTAATAAAAAGATCTTCCTTCACAACACTATTTACCATCATTAACATACCTAATTTCCCAGATTAATTTGTAAATATTAAGAAAGAACTGAATTTAGTACTTATCAAAATTTATATTTTAAATAAGTTTCCTCCTTTAGCCAAATGTATAGCAAATTAAAAACTATTTTGAATAGAAACAAAATGTATAAAAATGAAACTGTTTCCTTATTACAAGAAACTCACTAAAGATATACAAGATGCATTCTTACAAAACAGGTTTGCCTCATTAAATAAAATGAATTCAGATTTTCCAAAGAGAAAAATTAAATAATTACTTTATAAAGTATCTTATTTATCTATTTATTTTGAGACAGTGCCTTGCTCTGTTGCTCAAGTGAGCCAGCATGTCCAGCCACAAAATCTTAAATACAAATTTAGAAATGTCTCTTGAATAAGACTGTTTTTCTTAAATTACTGTCAATTTGATGAAGATTCTTTAAAAAAAAGATCAAGAAAATATAAAGACTATCTGATACTACTATAAATTATTTAGATTTGATCATTAATATTTAGAAGGTTGTATCTCGCTAACAGCCAGTAACACAGAACTTACTTTAATGAGATTAGCACCTCCTTTTTCACAACCAATATGAAATTTTTTCTCAGAAGTTTGAAAGGCCAGTAACTCCTTTGTCACTCCAAGGTGGCCCTCTAAGATCGTTTCTTCAATACCCGTCTCTCCTGTTCTTTTAACATCATCCTGCCAAAGGGGGAAAAAAGATCAAATGTCTAGCTTATGAAAGAGAGGTAAAGGGGGGCAGAGGAGCCAGAACAAGACAGAGACGGAGGGACATGATACAACTTCCTTAAGTCTTTCCATTCAAGTAAGTTTGTTTTCTTCAGAACTTTCTAGAAATAGGCTTTATGAACTACTAGAATAAATGCTAATTTAAAGGCTAGAAACTACAAATCTCTTCAGAAATACATTCTTGTAACATTCTGCCCAAATCAAAGGTATCAGATGTTATAATCAAAAGTTCTGCTCTATCAGACTCGTTTTTGACATAAACAATTCAAGAATACTTTTTTTAAAAAGTGGGAATTTGCAAAAAGGCCCCAAATGCTAAAATAAAAGAAGCTGAACACCAGTATTTCAAGTCTCAAGTAAGCAATCCATTTTACAAAACAAGATATGCATTCATTTTGTGAATCACAGGTTACTAACATCCACCAATGCAGAGTACATTTCTTTGGTCCCTTTTATCAGTCTTTGGAATTTTCACTCAACCAAAATGCTCAAAAAATATAAATCATTAATAAAACAACCTATTTACTAATACTGACATATAAATGTAGTATTAACTGCAACTTACCCTAATTCTTTTTAGCCAATCAATTTCATTATTGAGAAGAACTTCAGCATTGGGTACATTAATATTACTATTGTAAGCATAATTAAGAAGGTGTCTTAAAAGAGTAAAGTAGTCGCCTGAATGTTTAGCTCTCTCTCTTGCTGTGCTCTGGAAATGAAGTAGAATAATATCAATTTACATGTCTATGCTCAGAATCCCCTTTCTTAAAGCCAGAATTAACTAGAGAAGATGACTATAACAGTATGGGAAATTAAGTAATATTTCATTTATTAAATATAGACTGTCCTATCTTTAATGCAGGCTAAAAACCACAAATTACTGAATGTTTCTTGCTTACAGAATGAATCACATTGATAAGCATTTTTTAAAAAATCTCACCCCCAAAACAGTAAAGAGTAGAGTAATGAAGAAAAGTAGAGGCCGGTGTCCCATGCAACATCTGGTGCACATTAAAAAGAACTGCTCCTGTGCCACCTGACGAACAGTTCTGAAATAAAAATGTTTCACATTTAATACATTATTTTCATTAAAAAAATAACTGTAACATTGTTCCGTCTTGGGGAGGGCAGGTGGGGGGAATATAAGAGGGAGACAAATTAATAGTAAGGATACAGGATTATCCCACCTACACACACCAAGCTCTCAAGCCAATACCACATTAACAGATGAGCTTAAGCTGTATGTCCAGGACTATAACCTCAAATTGACACTAAGAGAGTTTAAAGGATACCACCTTCCAACATCTCTTTCTTGGAAGAGACTAGAAATGTTCCTCTATATACAAAATGCTCTACAGTAAGCCTTATGCATCTTTTTGGCCTTCCACAGAATTTTCATTAAACTGTGGTTTTGCACAACAGTTCTGTGGAAATTCTATAGTAATCACAGTAAGGTTATTATGGCAGATGTCTCTTATACCAGGGGTCCCCAACCGTCAGGTCAGAGGGCCGAGTGGGCATTATAGCCTAAGCTCCACTTCCTGTCAGATCAGCGGTGACATTAGATTCTACAGGAGCACAAATCCTACTGAACCATGCAAGGGTTCTAGCTTGTGTCCTCCTTATGATAATCTAACTAATACTCATGATTTGAGGTGGAATCCTTTCATCCCAAACTACCCCCCACTATCTCCTCAATCCACGGAAAAACTGTCTTCCATGAAACTGGCCCCTGGTACCAAAAGAGTTGGGGACTGCTGCCTTATACCATACTCTAGCAGTTCTAAAAGCACAGTCCGCAGAGCAGCATCAGCATTATCTGGGAACTTATTAGAAATGCCAATTCTCAGGCTCCAATGCAGACCTCCTTAATCAGAAATACTAAAGGTGGGACCTAGCAATGAGTTAATAAACTCTTCAGGTGAATCTGATGTGCACTAAAGATTGAGAACCACAGCCCTGGCATGGTGGCTCATGCCTGTAATCCCAGCACCATGGGATTACAGGCCAAGGCAGGTGGATCACGAGGTCAAGAGATTGAGACCATCCTGACCAACATGGTGCAATCTGTCTCTATTAAAAATACAAAAATTAGCTGGGGTGGGTGGTGGTGGTGGTAGTGGTGGCGTGTGCCTGTAGTCCCAGCTACCTGGGGCTGAGGCAGAATTGCTTGAACCTGGGAAGTGGAGGTTGCAGTGAGCCAAGATCGTGCCACTGCACTCCAGGCCGGCAACAGAGCAAGACTCCACCTCAAAAAAAAAAAAAGACTGAGAATTACAATACCATATTTTCTCTCTGATGAGCCATGGGAAAAACTTGCTGTGGTTCCAGTACCGGGAATCATGGATGTATCTTTTTTAAAAAGTGTGTTATGTACTATATAGATCTCACTAGAAAAAATGCTTCAAGAGGACAGAGACATCATCTATTTAGTTAACATTGCGCCTCCGGAACCTAGAATACTATCTGGCATATAGAAGGAGTTCAAGAACCGGTTATCAAATGTGTAGTCTATCTCCATTACAAAGTAAACTCTTTCAGGGTAGGACTCTTCTTGATGCCAGAGGTCCTAGCACCTAGAACTATGTCTGACATATGGAAGACGCTCAACAAGCATGCATCTGCTAAGCATTTGTGTATATCTTAAAGACATCACAAACTGTATTTCATGGATAACTACATTTCTGTCTTTGTGCTAGTTACTAGAGAACTCAGAACCTAATTTAAAGTACAAGTGTAAAGGACCTGACCACATATATTCTGTGTACTAACCTCCCTCCCTAGATGGTATCTGACAGCATATATTCTGTGTTCTAACTCCCTCCCTAGAGAGTAAGAACAGTCCATAGGTCTATAAATCAGAGGGATTCAGAAGCCCCTAACATTTTTGGAGGTAGAATTTGGGGGAAACCCAAGTAAACCAAAATCAGGCGTAATTACTTTTCTGAGAAGCAAGCCCAAAAGTTTTGTCAGATTTTCAAAGGTGTATGTTACTCCCACTGCTTTGATTTACTCATTTTACAACAAGTTAAGTATACAGCCCAAATGTGGGGATGGGGTAGGCAATAAAGTTGATGCTTGTCAATTCCTGATAAAACTTCCCTGAGAAAATGCAGGCTTCCATAGTGCTTCAAAAGAAACACACTTCTGTCAGCAAATCCTGTTGCCTCTACCTTCACAACAGTCAGTCCCCTTTTATTTTAAACAGGGTTTCCACCTGTCACCCAGGCTGGAGTGCAGTGGCACAACCTAGCTCACTGTAACCTCAAACTCTTGGGTTCAAGAATTCTTTCTACCTCAGCCTCCGGCGTAGTTAGGACTACAGGTGCATGCTACCACATCCAGCTAAAAATATTACATATATATAGAGAGAGATAGAGAGAGAGAGAGAGAGAGAGAGAGACAGAGAGAGAGAGAGAGAGAGACAGAGAGACAGAGAGACAGAGAGACACAGACAGACAGACAGACAGACAGACAGACAGACAGACAGACAGACAGACAGACAGACACTGGGTCTTGCTCTGTTGCCCAGGCTGGAGTGCAGTGGCACGATCATGGCTCACAGTAGCTTCACCTCCCTGGGCTCAGGTGATCTACCCACCTTAGCCTCCTGAGTAGTTGGGATTACAGGCATGTGCACCATGTCCTGCTTATTCTATTTTTTTAGAGATAAGGTCCCACTATGTTGCCCAGGGGTGGTCTCGAACTTCTGGCCCTAAGTGATCCTCTGGTCTTGGCCTCCCAAAGTGCTGGGATTACAACCATGAGCCACTGCATGCAGCCTACTGTCATCTTTTATTTGAATTCATAAAATAGCTTGCTTTTCCTGCTATCCTATGCACTATTCTTAACCAGAACAAACTTATAATATTAAGGTGCAGCACATTATTTCTGTGCTTAAAACCCTCTGAAGGATTCCCATCTCATTTAGGGTCAGAGTCAGTGTTCACAGTGAACTATAAAAACCCTCATAAGGTGTTTGTTATCCTCTGACTTTACTCCCTACAACTGTCCCTGCTCCCCAACCTCCTCTCCTCCATCCCCTCATCTCCTTGCTGTTCTTTCACATGTCAGGCATGTTTCTGACATGCCTGGGCATATACATCTGTTGTTTTTTTCTGCTTAAAATATACTACCCCCATTAGCCACACAGGTTATTACTTTGCTCTGAAAGGTAATGATAAAAGGTGACCCCTAAACAAAGCTATCACCTTTGTGAAGTCTTCAACCACCCTATATAAAAACCAAACTCCACTCATGCTCTCCTTATGCCCTCCACACTACACAGCCCCTTTTCCTGCTTTACTTCATCCCCATAGCACTTATTCCTATCTGATACGCTTCTCTTATGTCTTCTCTTCCCCTATTCCTTTTGGCACATAAGCTCCTAGAAGGGTAAGATTCTGTCCGTTTTGCCATATCCCTAGTGGGTAGTGTCTTGTACACAATAGGTATTTGATCAGTATTCACCAACATATACACGAGACTGCCTATACCACATTAAAAATCAAACACTGCTTAGACCTTAGTATCATAGGCCTTCTGTCATACTGACTCCCACTAACATCCTTGACTCCTTTTCTACACATTTAACCAAATACTCAGCTCTGCTCAGAAAGCACTATCCCAGGAGTGGCAAAATCAAATGCTTTCATGGGTCCAAGAAGTAACATAAATGAGTTAACTAGCCAGGGGATAAAGCAAAAGGCTGTGGAAACAGCAGAAAACAATATCATATCTAAAAGAATTTAAATCCACTGCAACTAATTACAATAAAATAAGATCAGTGTCATGATGAGGAAGCAGACCATCTAGTAGGAACAGAGAGGTCAAGGAAACCTTTCCTAGTTTATGGATAAGGAAAAGTTACTGGAATATGTGGCACTTAAGTTGAAACTTCTGAGTGAGTAGAAGCAGGGACCAAATTATGCAGTGCTTATAAGCCAAATTTAAATGTTGGGACTTAATTAAAAGATAATGGGAAGACATGGGAAGAAAATTTTAAGCAGGAAAGCAACAAGATCCTATCTTCTAGAGCTCACTCTGCTTGCCATGTAGTCAACAGATTAGAAGAGTACAACACTACAGGTGGAAAGATAAGGGTACTATGATTGTCCAGGGAATGTGTCCAGATTGCTTAGGTCAGGGTAGACCATGAGGAGGAAAGCATATGGAGTCCAAAGACACATGAAGTAAAAGCCATATAACTGGGAGTGAGAAAGGGAGAGGGAGAGAGAGCAAACTGGCAATGCCCATCTTCTACTTTGATGCACAAATTCTACCCCAAACATGAGCTCACATGCTACATTCTGCACAAAACCTTCACTTTTGTTCTTTCCAGGTAGAAAGTAAGTTATTCCCCTCCCAATTCTCAAAGTATTTTACCTTTTATGACACCAATTTCTGTCTCAAAGTTCCTTGAGTACAACAACTGCCTTGTTTGACTTTGGTTTTAACTGCCAAGCACATAGGTAGGAATTCATATATTTGCTGGTGGAGTATAATTACACCCACAGCCAAATTTGTGTAGCAGAAATGTCAGAACTCGAGAGGTAGTAAACCTTCAGTCATAGCTTTAGCATTTAGTGATGATATGACCTTGTCAGTCATTTAATTTCTATAGTCCTTGTGCCTCTCCATCAACAAAGTCTACTTCTGAGTTGCTATAGGGATTAAGTGAGAAGTACCTTGTAAGTAACTATGTTTAACCATGACTATAGGATTATAAACTCCATCTGAAGGGCAGACTTGTACACAGCTTGCAATCCCTTTTCTGAAACCCCTGGGGCCAGTATGTATTTGAGGATTCTGCTGTTTTTTTTTTTTTTTTCTCCTTTTTGAGACAGAGTTTGACTCTTATTGTCCAGGCTGGAGTGCAATGGCACCATCTTGGCTCACTGCAATCTCTGCCTCTGGGTTCAAGCGATTCTTACCTCAGGCTCCCGAATAGCTGTGATTACAGGCACCCACCACAATGGCCAGCTAATTTTTTATATTTTTAGCAGAGACAGGGTTTTACCATGTTGGCCAGGGTGGTCTCAAACTCCTGACCTCAGGTGACCCACCCACCTCAGCCTCCTAAAGTGCTGGGATTACAAGCATTAGCCACCTAACACAGTCTGGGGATTCAGATTTTAGAATATTAATGCCAATAATTAACGTCCAAGTTAGATTTTCTGAAAATTCTTACCGATGGGAAATAATGGATTTTGAACCTACATGGGCATTCAGGTATTTATAAAAATCAGGTACCTAAAACTCAAAAAGATCCTAACCTACAACACCCTCCTTATTATTGCAGACAATGTAACAGTGACATAATGAGATAACATGTTTCCTACAGTACTTTACCACACTACTTGCAATTATCAGGGAAGAGAGGGGAAAAATGGTTCTGACTTTGATATAAGGGGAATTTTCATAAAGGGTAGAGGGCAAAAAAAATGTGTTAAATCAAGTTCCTTAATACTTATTAGACTAAGAAGTGAAACAAGTTCCTAATTTGAAGATTTAAAAAAAGTCAATATAGAATAAGAAACTTGCTACCCTCCAGGTTTGACTTATATAAAACTGTTGGCTAATCATCTTTTCTATCCTCACCACTCCTACATGTATGCATCATTAAATGGAACTAGACTTACTGAACCTATTTATCTTTTCTAATGTGCAGAAATGTCTTCTCAGGGAGGTGGCATGCCCAACCTGATTTGTGGAGATCCTATTAAAGGAGTTTCTGAATAGGCTGGACTGGATGTCCTCAAAGAACTTACCGAAGGAACTTCTTAAAATAGGTGATATTCCCACTTTAGAACCACTAAATCACTTTCGACTCTAAAGTGACATTCCCACTCCAGACTCCACATCCTATGTAGTGGGCAAGTTGAACCTACCCGCGACAGCATGTAAATTTTTAAAACTTTACTTATCACTACACTTCATTTCAACAAATGGCTTATTTTGACTTTACATTAACCTTTCATCCATGATTTTTGTCATTATTTAATGGCATGTGATGGAATGATAAACATTTTCTGTGTCTTTTCACAAAATATAGATAAGACGGATTAATTACATATAATGGTGACACTAATTAAAGCTCAAGTTTATAAAGTTACTGTATACAAGTCAGGATCAGATTGATATAAGGGGATGGAAACCAACATTTTCTATAAATCTGACTGATGTGCACAAAAAGAAGCTCAAGACAAAATTACTGTCACTGATTAAATGCTCTTGAAATGAAAACAAGAGCTTTATACTGATCTTTATTCTCAGTGTAAACTGCAAAAGTTCTTACAGTGACCCATCTTGGAAATTTTACATCAAATTCATTTTGGCTTAAAAAAAATCTGGCATCTAGGAATCTAAGATAGGAGGCCAATGTCCTATATCATTTAAATCTTGCAAACTAGATTTTTAGAAACAGGCTAATCTATATACCTCCTAGGTAAAGCTAAATTCTAAAATTAGAAAACATCATGCTTTGACAATTAATATTGGCATTTGCAGAGACTAAAACCAAATAAATTTACGTTAAGCAAAACACTGTTAAGTAATAAAATTTCCATCAATACCAATGTGCTATAGAGATAATAAATATTTGACTTTTGGGATACATTTTGCCAGCAAAAATTAATTCACTCCACTTACAAAAAAGTAAGTTTCTTACAATTAAAAAAGATACTTACTTGCTGTGACAGTGCAATAGTAAGTCAATGATGAATGTCTGCCAAGCCTTTTCTTTACTAAGAGCATCTAAGGCTGTTGGAATCAAGGCAAAACATAAGGTCATCACTTCCAATGCTTCACAGCAAACCTGTTCGTCTTCCAAGTCTGGCTCATTGCCTGCATTGGTCTGTAAAATTATAATCAAGAACAAATTACGCAAAGAAGCATTTAAGAAACATCTCATACGACTTCTAGTTAGTACTTAAAACTCACCTACTCACTTAAACCACCTGGCCTCAGCCTCTCTGAAGCTGCATGCAACTCTTGAGGTCCCCTTGGAATAGTCTGGAAATGACTTTAATAGAAAATAAAGTCTAATTCCATTATTTTCCTGTGTCCCAAGGAAGGCTGAAGGAGCACACTGAGCACACTACCTATTTCTTTGAGACATTCTGAATTGTTTACTTCTGAACCAACACCAACCCTTTCTCAAGAACCACTGTGGCATGGCACTTAGGTACTTTAGACTAGTTCCATTGTGTAGCTTGCCTATCGTGCAATTTTATTAAAATTCAATTGTCTTTGACAACTACTTGGGAAGGGTTTCAAAGACTTACAACCTAAAGTATGCTTGGGGAGGTATTAATAAAGTCTAACTTGACTATATTCATCAAAAAGTATTAACTAGGCCGGGTGCGGTGGCTCAAGCCTGTGGCTCAAGCCTGTAATCCCAGCACTTTGGGAGGCCGAGACGGGTGGATCACGAGGTCGAGAGATCGAGACCATCCTGGTCAACATGGTGAAACCCCGTCTCTACTAAAAATACAAAACATTAGCTGGGCATGGTGGCTCGTGCCTGTAATCCCAGCTACTCAGGAGGCTGAGGCAGGAGAATTGCCTGAACCCAGGAGGCGGAGGTTGCGGTGAGCCGAGATCGAGCCATTGCACTCCAGCCTGGGTAACAAGAGCGAAACTCCGTCTCAAAAAAAAAAAAAAAAAAAAAAAAAAGTATTAACTATAGTACGTGCCTAAAACAGAATAGGCATTCAGTTACATGCTGAATGAATACGCAGGGCTATGCCAGACAGATACTATGGAACATGAACATATATCCTGGGTAAATCAGCGTTATGTTGGACATATAAAGGAAGCTCTACCAAGCCAGGGAAGTTCCTGGAACTCAATTTCTTCTCCTAAGCATGTAGCATCAGGGGCAGGCACTCATGATAAATCAAAAAGCCAACCATAGCTTCTCTTCTGTAGATAATTTGCTTAATCTAGTAGAAGGTCAGGAATGATATCTAATTGGCTAACACTATTCTTATTTTTGACTGCCTTAAGAGAATCAAATAAAAACACTTAATGCCTTGATACCATTAACTGACAAACCAAAATTTATGCAGGACAGAAAGATAATAAAAGAAAAAATAGAATGGGATAAAGCAAATTAAGTATGAGACAATTCTATCTGATCCCCACAAGAAAGTGAAAAAGGCAATTTCATTTAAAAAGCAGCCCCATGGCAGGATTAAGTACTTAATTTTCAATATAAAATGTTACCATATTCTCAATATAACTATCAGTTATTTTTTAACCATTAAGATGCAAGTGATTGGATTTTTTAAAGTAGCAAACTTAATAAAAATCAAACCATAAGCACAATTAAGAAACATTTGTTTGCAAGAAATATAGTTCTGTAGTAATTCTTACCTTCTCATAAATTTTAGTGATTTCTTCATTTGGGCTAAATACTAGCTGTAATGACCCACATCCTGATGCCCAGATAATTTTTTGTATAGCTCTAATTACACAAATATCAGGCATATATCTTGAAGCCTGAAAGATAACGAGTAAATAGAACTGTTGATAGAATATGAGAGTAAAATTATGATTAGAAAAACAAAAATGCTTCACCTTGTAAAGGAAATAGGAATTACTGTGTAGTACCATTGTCTTTAAGTCTTTAAATTCCCAAGTTGCCTTTGTCTTTAAAAGAAAAAGGGGGCGGGGGGGTGGGTGGGCTCTGTCTCTGTCTCCCAGGCTAGAGTACAGTGGTATGATCATAGCTCACTACAGCCTTGAATTCCTGGCCTCAAGAGATTCTCCAAGATTCAGGCTCCCAAGTAGATGGAACTCCAGGCATCTGCCACTGCACCTGGCTTATTCCCCAACTCCCGACTTTAAACAGCAATACAACAAAGTATGCTCCCCAAGTTATCCGGCCCTTTACTAGTATACTTTAAGACTACAAAGATGACAACCCTTCCACTCATAGTTTCTTATCCAAGAAAAATGAAAACTTATATCTACACAAACACTTGTACACAATGTTCACATCAGCTTTATTCACAGTCAAAAAGGGAAAACGATCCAACTGTCTATCACCACGTATATAACCAAAATGTGGAATATTCATAACAGGATACTAGTTACCAATAAAAAGGAATGAACTACTGATCCACACAACATAGATAATTCTCAAAGTCATTAGTGAAAGAAGGCAGACATGAACACACACTATATTCCATCTGTATAAAATTCTAGAAGACAAAAAATACTCTCTAGGGACAAAAAAAGCAGTGATTACCTGGGAAAAGAATAACTGCAAAGGGGCATAAAGAAAGAGTGATGAAAATATTTGGTTTTGACTGCAGCAGTGGTTTCACACATATATGTCAAAATTCACTGAATCTGGCCCAGGCATGGTGGTTCATGCCCATAGTCTTAGCACTTTGGGAAGCTGAGGCAGGTGATCACCTCAAGTCAGGAGTTCGAGACCAGCCTGGTCATCATGAAACCCCATCTCTACTAAAAATACAAAAATCAGCTGGGTGTGGGGGCTGTACTTGGGAGGCTGAGGCAGTAGAATCACTTGAACCTGGGAAGCAAAGGTTGCAATGAGCCAAGATGGTGCCACCGCACTCCAGCCTGGATGACAGAGTGAGACTCCGTCACACACACAAAAAAACAAACAAAAAAAACACCACTGAATCTGTATACTTTAAAAGGATGCTGTTTATTATACATAAAGTTGATAAAAACAGAAAGTACTAATAGTAGACGAAACCGATATTAAGAGGACATTATCTATAGAATAAGACAGTGATTAAAATAAGTGGGCCTAGTAAAATTAAAATTGTGACAGAAGTCTCAGTAAAACTAACCTCATCAGATATCTGCTGAGCAAGACGAACTGACACATTTCTAAGCATGCACTCGGATGATGGATTAGGAATGCTCTGAAGGGCACTTTGTAGCACCACTGCTTGATCATGGGTAACCTGGTTGACCTGAAAAAAGTTAACCATTTTATTTGGGGTAAATAATTTGTACATAACCAGACCTAACCATTTGCTATTCATTCATCACCCACTCCCTCAGAACTACTTCCTTGCATATACACATTATAGAACCTGTGGCAACTTACACAAAAAACACTACCAACAAGATGGGCTTCCTCTCTTTCTTGTGCACTGTAGTGCCACGTGTCTGTGGAAATCTCCATTCTAGAGCAATCCAACTCGTGTCTCTACATCTGGGCTCAGCTTAACTTGCAGGGGATAATGATACACAATAGACTGGTTCCAATCCCTTCTAGAGACTCAGTGAATTATTGTACCTCTTCTATGTACATGCCTTGGGCAGACCCTGTTTGTATTCCCCATTGTTATCACATTTTGCTTTGGAAAAAAAAAAGAAAAGAAAAATTCTTCCAGAGAAGTTGGGGGAGGGGGGGAATTAAGGAATACTGAAAAAGCAGTAAGAAGACTAATGTATGAAAGGTACCCTAGTTTTTACTTAATAGTATAATCAAGTTGTTAAATCAGTGAAACAGATTAATTTCATTACGTAGTTGTTAGCAAGGCAATTCTGACTGCCTTCAAGTTGTAATTCCCCTCCAATATACTATAAATATTTCTACAATATTTAGATATTTCTGTATTACTAATTTTGCATTGGGCTCCCTACTGTGAGCTCACTGAGATTAGAGGTTATTATGTACCTCTGTACCACAGTGGCACCTTCTCTGAATATTGAAGAAAGGTGAAAGTGGAAGTATGTAATTGTTTTCTATGTACTTCATTAAGCATCTGTGTCAGGGATCATGACAAAAATCTGTTTTTATCCTAACAACAAGCTGTCTTTTAACTTAAACTACTTAAAAAAGAAAATTCTAACAAAAATGGGACCTGTGATATAAAATAATATATAAAATTTAAGCTATTTTTTACAGAAAATTCCTAACACACACCTAAGTGTGAATGTAGAATTAACTCCCATGTACATATTACTTAGCTTCAGAAATTATCGCCAGTGGACCAAATTGTAATCTTAACTATCCTCCCTTGCTTTTCATCATCTCTCCACCCCAGGATTGTTTTTAAGCAAATCCTGGTTATCATATAATCTAACCTGGAAGTATCTCAGCAATGGGGGGGGGGGGGGGGGCTCTTCCTTTTAAACATGACCACAATATTATCACAGCTAAGACAACTATATATGATATTACCATAATTATCAACATTCTGATCTCCCCAACTGAAACCTAAGCCATTTCTAAAGAAGAAAATCTTTATTCCTAGAGCTTTTACTTTCTATCAGTAACTTAGTAAAACCATTGTTTATGATGTTCATAAAATTTTAGTTAGAATTAAATGCATAGTTTGATCTCTCAAAATTAAGTATCAAATTCTGGCTTGTCTTGGGAATTTTTAGTGACATGGAACAAGAATGCCACCAAGGCAGAAACAGAGTCAGAATGAGCTCAGAACTTGGGTTTAAGGCCAAGGTGGGAAGGGAAACTAGCAACAAGATAAACCAATTACATCTCTTATTACCATCTGTGTTTTTATATATCTGCCAGGCACAAGTTAATGAGATTCATATGGAATTTTTGTTAGGTTTAAAATAGTTGAAAGTCAAGCAAGATTTAAGTGGGCAGGGAGAAACTACCCTCTCAAATTATTAGCAGTCAGTGAAAAGTATTTATACTTTTAATACAAACATCATAAAGAAAACCTCTGAAAGGTACTCTGAACATTGAGTCAACCTTGAACTCTACACTTAAAATGCTAGTTTCACTTTAAAAATTTCTATCTACTATTATAAAAAGATTTTTAAAAAGTCTGTATTACCGGTGTCATGGGATTCACACCTTCTACACCTGGTTGACAAGCTTCTGCCACAGCTCGAACGTGACCATAGCCAATGGCAGTTAGCAAAAGCTTGGCTATTTTAAGAGCATTGAGGTAGGCACCCCTTCGAGTTTCCATATCTGCATTTGGTAGGAAGTTATTTCTGGTTAGCATACTCAGTACAAGGGGTAGGCCACCACTTTTCAAGAAATGAAACTGAAAATCAGAGGAATCATCAGTCAGAGGTGCACCAGCAGGCATTAACAAGGCATAGACTACCTGGAAAAATAGAGAAGAGGGGGAGAGGGCTGTATTAAAAGATATTTTAAAAACTTACTTTTATTTATACTATTGTCACTGCCAAGAAATTCTTGACCATTTCACTATTATTTCAAATTAACATTTCATTTCAAAAATATTTCATTACAATTTTACCCAAATTATTCACATTACCACATGAAAGGTCAAATTAAAAAAAAAACACAGAATTTAAAAGGGAATAAAAACCAACCTCTGTTAGATATAGCACTTGTGAGGCTGAAGGACCAAAGAAAAGTGAGTCAAGAGACGGACTAAGGCTGCTTTCTCCAAGTTTGGCATGGTCTAAACAAATAGCTCTTAATTTTTCTATCGTTGTGCTATCTGGAGGAAAAAAAAAAAGAGAGTGTGAAACAAAACATAATTCATGTGTTCATGCATATTTAACTTTTGATATCTTGAAGACCATATTAATATGGATTAACAATCCACTCAAGTCAGGCTCTATAGGCTCAAACTTCGTAAGACATAACAAGACCTGGATTGATTTAAAAAAGAAAAAAAAAAATTGGGGGCAACCAGGGCTCTTTAATCAGTTACTCTAAACACAATGCATCTGCTATTCAGGGACCTCAAATCAACATACCCTCCCCTCAGCCAGTGGAGACAGAAAAAAATACATTTCAAAAGGAATCAGTTCTGACTGAAAGTAAGAAAAAAAGTATAAGCTCTTCCCTCCAAACTCTTTACTGTATGCCCCGACACTACATATTAACTGGCTTGCTTCACCGAAAGAAACAGGAAAATAAACCCTGAAAAGCAAACATCAAAAAAGGGTAAGTGCCTATGTTCATTCACCTCAACGCAATTAGCGTTTTTGTCCTTTTGTCATAATACTAAAACATCAATTTATTTTAAATTATGGTGAAGACCGCCATGTTCTCACTCATAAGTGGGTGTTGAACAATGAGAACACAGGGACATAGGGAGGGAAACATCACACACCGGGGCCTATTGGGAGGTGGGGGGGCTAGGGGAGGGAGAGCCGGGGGTGGAGGAATTGGGGAGGGATAGCATTAGGAGAAATGCCTAATGTAGATGACAGGGGGATGGATGCAGCAAACCACCATGGCATGTGTATACCTATTTTAACAATCTTGCAGGATCTGCACCTGTACCCCAGAACTTAAAGAATAATTAAAAAAAAAAAATTATGGTGAAGAGGTGCAGTTGGGGGGGGAGGTACGCATAAGATAATCCCAAAATGCAATTAAGCATTAGCTACCAAATACTCGAACTTTATTAATAGTCAATCAACCCTGGAAAGTATTTTGATGATCGGCTTATTTCTAAGGTAACTGTCCTATGAATAAAAAAACCACTTGATAAATAATTAAAAAAAAAAATTTTTAAGTATGAGTTCCTGGCGAAAGGAGAATCTAAAAGAAAAAAAAGAGAAAAATTTTAAAGTAAAAGCTTCTTTTAAAGAAAAGAAAAATGATGAAAAATTACTATGATTTTCTTTGGGTAAATGAATTTTTACAGGCCTAGAAAGAGCAGCCAGTATCTTATGCATTTTTCAATTTGTGTTGAAATTATCACTTCTCTCTATTCTGAAGGGATAGCAACATATATAACCAATTAAAATATTAAATTTTTAAAATATTTATGTATATCTTCTCATGTCATTGACTATTCATCTTTATCATTTTATCTGATTACTAAAATGACCATGTTATTTTACCAGTTTAATACCTATTATTGGGCATTCAGGTTTTTGCCTCCCCCGACCTTTTTAAACACCAAAGAATCTAGCAACTGAATTTTTATAATTTTCCCCATGCAAATGGCATGGGGAAAAACCCTGCAAATGGCATGAAGAACTTAAATATAATGCTCAAGACTTGACATATAATGCCCAATTACTCCTAAAAGCAAACCAATTCATGTTTAACCACTGTATCTGACAGTATCTTGCTTGGCTTAAAAATATTCCGAGTGAAGGATGGAGGCAAAAGGGAGTAGGAGAAAAAAAAAAGAGTTCAAGAAAAGGAAGTAGTAGTTCTTTTTTTTTTTTTTTGAGATAGGGTCTCACTCTGTCACCCAGGATGAAGTGCTGTGGCATGACCACAGCCTCAACCTCCCTTTGCATTTTTTTTTTTGGTAGAGACAGGGTTATGCCATGTTGCCCAGGCTTATCTCAAACTTCAGGGGTTCAAGTGATCCTCCCACCTTGGCTTCCCAAAGTGTTGAGATTACCAGCGTGACCCGGCCAGAAGTGGTAAACTAAGCAAATCACTTAATGGTGCTGAATTATAGTTTACTTATTTGAGAGATCTGAATCAAAGTAACACTCAGTGGCCATTCCAGCTCTCACATTTGTCAACCTAAATTATTTTAGTTCCCTGATTATATACATGTTCATTTTATTAAAAACGAAAGACAGAAAAATTTAAGCCAGTCATAATCTGTAATCCAGAGTTCATTACGACTTTATTTCTTTCTAGTCTTTTGAAAAGACACCTAAGCTTTGGGAGGTCAAGGTGAGAGGACTGCTGGCGCCCAGCATGTCAAGACCAGCCTGCATAACACAGCAAGACCTCCATCACTACAAAAAATTTTTCAAAATAAGCCAGGTGTGGGCCAGACGCAGTGGCTCATGCCTGTAATTCCAGCACTTTGGGAGGCCAAGGTGGGCGGATCACTTGAGGTCAGGAGTTCAAGACCAGCCTGACCAACATGTGAAACTCCATCTCAACTAAAAATACAAAAATTAGCTGGGCTTAGTGGTGTCTGTCTGTAGTCCCAGCTACTCGGGTAGCTGAGGCAGAAGAATCACCTGAACCCAGTAGGCAAAGGCTGCAGTGAGCCAAGAATGCACCACTGCACCGCAGCCTGGGCGACAAGAGCAAGACTCTTTTTCCCCCCCAAAAAAAAAATGAGCAAGCCAGGTGTGGTGTTGTGCACCTGTTAGTCCTAGCTACTCCTAGGCAGGAGCCTCACTTGAGGCTAGGAGTTTGAGGTTACAGTAAGCTAGGATCATGCCACTGCACTGATCATGACACAGTAAGGCCCTCTCTGTTTAAAAAAAAAAAGAAAAAAAAAGAAATGTGCCGGGCACAGTGGCTCATGCCTGTATTCCCAGCACTTTGGGAGGCTGAGGCGGGCGGATCACAAGGTCAGGAGTTCAAGAACAGCCTGACCAATATGGTGAAACCCCGTCTCTACTAAAAAAACAGAATTTAGCTGGGTGTGGCGGCATGCACCTGTTAGTCCCAGCTACTCAAGAGGCTGCGGCAGAATAATCGCTTTAACCCGGGAGGTGGAGGCTGCAGTGAGCCAAGATCACTCCACCGCACTCCAGCCTGGGCGACAGAGTGAGGAAAAGAGGAGGAGGAAAGGAAAGGGAAAGGGAAAGGGAAGAGAAAAGACAGAAAGAAAGAAAGAAAGGAAGGAAGAAGAAATGGCATTTAAGCTATGTGTCCCAGGTGAATTAACTATCTGTGCCTCAGTTTCTCCATCTTTAAAATACAGATAAAATTAAAAATTTCCTTATAGGGATGGTATGCAGTTTATCAGTGCTAAGAACTTACCACAGACTTTTACAAAAAACTGTATTAGATACAGAGAGGACTGCAGAAGTTTTAAGTTTAATGGCACATCACAACAAGGGTACTTGGCTTCAGGCAAAGATTCAGAATGAACAGAAGAGTAGTTAATGACTGGGGAAAAAGCTACTGATTCTATCTTTCCCATGCATTTAAAATACATCCAAAAGTGCACAAATACTAAATGATCACCCAAATGTTACATAGCTAGTTACTATAGCCAGAAATAGAATTTCTAACTACTTCTTATTCTTAGGGCTCCTATTTCCTTTCTTATTCAAGAGTTTATGTGTCTAAAACATGGTGACAGAGAGTGGGTTAATGTTTACTGAATACTAAGTGCCAGTCACTAGGCTAGGGGTGTTCCATACATTGCCTCATTTAATCCCTGCAATTATACAAAAACGTTATTATCCCAGTTCTAGGGATAAGGAAGATCTAATAAACTATGAAACTTAGGTTTAAGGCCATAGAGTAGCAATTAGAAGCAGGATTTATACACAAGTCCATTGGAGTCCAAAGCCTATGACTTTTCTGCTGTAATACAACCATTACTAGCTTTTTCAAAAGCTGGCTGTTTCAAATTTAGGTAGTATGGTATATAAAATATGAAAAAGCACCTGCTTCAAGTTTCCTAACGGTCTGACACAAGCTCATGCATGCCATCTGGTGGCATTAATTGCCAATCACAAGCTCAAGGATTCGGTGGTAGGTTTCCATTTTTACAGCATGTTGTGAAGGTTGAATGTGCAGTAAAGCAATTCAAGGACTATTACTGAAATATTAGCAAATAAAACCATGTAAATTCTAAACACTGTAACAGACAAGAATAAAATAAAAAAATCTTTGAGAGAAGACTTAGCTAAAAATCTAATGTGAACTGCTTCTGTCCCATGATAATTGCAAAGCCAAGTCCCAATGAGATGTTTAATTTAGAAAATGGAGGTAATAAAAGCAGAAGATAGCTTTTAAAAATTGTGTGTCAACTAAATATGGTATACTTAACTATATTTATCAGTACTTCGCCCCTAAATCCCACTAAAATGAGAATTAATGAATATAAAAATACAGAAACTCAAAAGAACATTAAAAACAGAAGAGGAAGCAACACATTAAACAGCTGTCAACAAATTACTTAAGGCATAGTGAAGATGGAGATTGGTTTAGCTGAACCAAGAAGTGCTTATGAAGGCAAGGAGAAGAGGATGCCTATAAATTAGTGCCCCACTAAATCTGAAAAAGGTAACGGTATGAAAACAACAAACACTTGAGAAGGCACAGATGATTCAAAGCCCTAAAAAGACAGAGAGGCTGAAGACTAAGAAGCATTTCCAACTCCCTCAGATTTAGGAAGTTGGGGAAACAGATTTCTCATTGCTGTAGAGATACAAATATGAAATGGGGACAACTAGGAAGTTGAACTTGTACAAGCGTGAACCTGTGGTTAATTAACTGCAGGATACAAAAATCAACATACGAAACTCAGTAGTGTTTCTATATGCCCGTAGCAAACTATCTAAAAGAGAAATCAAGAACGCAATCTTACTCACAATACCTAGAAATAAATTTAGGCAAGGAAGCAAAAGATCATTACAAAAAAGCTGATGAAAGAAAGAAAAACAGGACATGAATAAATGGAAAAATATTCGATTTTTACATACGATGAATAATAAGGGTCTAGTTTCATTTCTCTGCATGTGGATATTCAGTTTTTGCAACACCATTTTATTCAAGAGACTGCCTGTTTCCCCAACTTCCTAAATCTGAGGGAGGTGT